CTTAGGATCCTCTGGGACAACTTTAAACATTCCAACGTCCGAATTGTAGGGGTGCCAGCAGGAGAAAGGGAAGAGCAAGAAATTGAAAACTGATTTGAAAAAATAATGAACTTCCCTGATCTGGCAAAGGAAACAGACTCCTGGGAAGTCCAGGAAGTTCAGAGAGTCCCAGAGAAGTTGGACTCAAGGAAGCACACACCAAGGCACATCATAATTACATTCCCCAAGGTTAAAGATATGGAGAGAATCTTAAAAGCAGCAAGAGAAGGGGAGACAGTTACCTACAAAGGAGTTCCCATGAGACTATCAGCTGATTCTCAAAAGAAACCTCACAAGCAAGAAGGGATTGGAAAGAAGTATTCAAAGTCATGAAAGGCAAGGACCTACACCCAAGATCACTCTCTCCAGTGAAGCTCTCATTTGGAATGGAAGGGCAGATAAAGTGCTTCCCAGATAAGGTCAAGTTCAAGGAGTGCATCATCACCAGGCCCTTATTGTATGAAATGTTTAAAGGACTCATCTAAGAAAAAGAAGATCAAAAACTATGAACAGTAAAATGACAACAAACTCAGAACTATCAACAACTGAACCTAAAAAAACAAACTAAGCAAACAACTAGAACAGGAACAGAATCACAGAAATGGAGATCAGAGGGGAGGGGGAGGGGGAGAATGGGGGGAAAGGTGTAAGGAGTAAGAAGCGTAACTAGTAGGCACAAAATAGGCAGGGGGAGGTTAAGAACAGTATCGGGAACGGAGAAGCCCAAGGACTTACATGCACGACCCGCGGACGTGAACTGAGGCGCTGGTGGGGGTGGAGCGGGAAGGCCATTCTGGGGGAGGGGCAGTGCAGGGCGGAGAGGAATAAAGGGGAGGAAAAAATGGGACAACTGTAATACTATAATCAATAAAATATATGTTAAAAAATTTTTTAAATGTTCTATAATTAACTATGGGGATGGCTGCATAACTCTGTGAATGTACTAAAGGCCACTGAATTGTGCACTTTAAATAAGTGAATTATACCTTAATAAATCTGTTATAAAATTCTTCAGGCCAAATGTATCTGCCATAGCAATTAATGTAAATGGGCTAAATAACTAAACACACTTTTCCCAAACTGCTGTACCATTTAGAGCAAAGGCTGGCTTTTTTTTTTTTTTTTCCTGTGAAGAGCCAAATAGTAAATATTTTAGGCCTGGCAGCCCACTCAGGCTCTGTTGCGACTAGTGACTGTGCCACTGGGGCGAAAGCAGCCCGAGACAACATGTAAGTCGATGAGTGTGGCTGTGCGCCAACAAAACTCGACTCACGAAACAGGTGGCAGGCTGGACGCCTCATCTGCAGGCTCTCCCTCCATCTACCACGGCCAGGGCAGGCGATGCCTCGGAGGTGGTAGACTCCGAGCAGCTCGGTGACTTGTCCAGGTGGCAGACAATCTGTAAACGGAGTGGACAAGACTTCTCACGCTGACTTCCCTGGGTGCTCGCGCTCAGCCAGACGTGCTGCCGGTCCGGGACGCCTCCCCCGCACGCGGCTGGCGCAGGGCAGGGCCACCGCGCGCGGCTCCTCGCTGCCACTTCTCCTCACACCCCAGTGACCCTTTCCTAACCCCCTTCTCTCCTTCTGACAAACTTCAGTGACACGGCCATTCCTAGGGGCCGAGTTCAATTTGCCTGCCAATCGAAGGCTTCATCAAGGCCCCACTTGGATTTCATCTTCTCCATTTTAGGGCCTCTCAGAACCGCAGAACTGAGAGTCTCAGTAGGTCACTCACAGGCCTGACTCACGCACCCTCTTCCGCTGCACTTTCTTCTTTCATTTATTCATATTCTCTTTCATGGGTGACTACCTACCATGTGCCAAGTCCTTCCAAGAGCCTAAACTGGTCAGTCCGTAGTAGAAAGGAAAAGGAGATGGCAGATGGCGTGCCACCATAATGGGAAGTGGCATCCAATAACCTAAACTAACCCTGTGCGTTGGCCAACTTAAGCGAACTCCCTGGGATGTTGTAAAGGGAAAAAAAAACGCTATCGTTTCCTTTACACTCACACAGATACTCCAAGTGTGTAAAGGCTTTCCCAACAAGCAACTCTGCCACACTAGCAGGGAGTCCTACCGTTCAGTTAAGGTCTGAGTCAGCGTCAGATCCCGCAGGCTAAAGGCTCCGTCCCACAAGATGCCGCCTCATCTGCCTCCTTCCTCCCGGCCCCTTCTGGTTCCAGGGGACAGTCCAGGTTGTCACCTCTGCTTCTGACCAACCCACTGGCTACCATTCGGTTCCAATGATGACTCCTGTTTGATTAATTTGCTACAGAAGCTCACAGAACTCAGGAAAACATTTCACTTACTAGATTACCAACTTATTACAAAAAGATGCAACTCAGGAATGGCCCAATGAAAGAAATGCGTAAGGGAAGGCGCGTGGTTAGGGGCAAGGAGCTTCAACACCCTTTCTGGACAAGCTGCCCCCCTGGCATCTCTGTAGGTTCACCAGCCCGGAAGCTCTGAACCTCTGAAAACCCGTGGTTCAGGGATTTTAGGGAAGCTTCACTACGCAGGCAAACGGGCAATTAATGATCAAGTCGATCTCCAGCCCCTCTCCCCTCCCTAGAGGTCAGGGTGTAGGGCTGGAAGTTCAACACTCTATTCACACATTTGGTTCCCATGGTAACCAGTCCCCATCCTTAGGGGTTTTCTAAAAGCCACCTCCCTGACATAAACTCAGGGGTGTTTGAAAGACACCCATTTCATCTTTCTCACTCCGGAGTTACATGAGGACAGGAGACCAAGTATTTAAACAAAAGATTTCCCCACAGCTTTTTTGGCTTTTAGGAGCTGTGTGCCAGGAAGAGGACAGAAACCAAATATGTATATATTTCTTATTTTAAATCATCATTATCACAGAAGCCCTTCCTGCTTTCTCTTTACCAGCTCTTCACGGCCCACCTCTGGGCCCTTCACCTGGGCCCTGAGAGGCGAGAGCTCAGCCCCCAGCAGCATCCAACATTGTAAAAAACTATGGAACTTAACAGAATGACCCTCAGAAGCAACCTAGTCCTTCAACTCACACAGGAAAATAAGGCCCAAGAGCACACAATACCTCCAAGTTTCCGCCAGCGTCAGACCCCAGATTTGGACTCCTGCCGTCAGGCCCAGCTGCCTGTCGAGTTCTAGATTCTCTAAAGCAGGCAGTGTCCCTCATGCCACACTGTCACCTCTAGATATGTCACAGCTGCCTAGGCACACCTCCTCCTGCTCTGCACCATACTCCGACTCACCTGTCAGCTCTCAGTTTAAATGTCCTTTCAAAAACCCAAGGCCCTTTCGGGACACCCTCAAAATGGGAGTAGGTGCTTCTTTGTGTTCTCATAACTTCTAGGTACTTCTCTCAAGCTACTGTTTAACTAGGATATGATGACCTTCTGCACTTGACAATGAACATCCAGGTAGGGAGCACGTTCTACCTGTCTGGAAGGCCACCAGGCCTCCTGCCCTCAGCACAGAAAAAGCAAATTGAATGTAAGGAGAGTGTTACTACTCTTCACTCTCAAAAGTGATCGCTCCCACTTTTACCCTAAAATCTCTCCCCAGAAGCAACGAAAGAGTCACTACCTTCTCCTAGGTCTCATCAGAGTCAGAAGCAGAAGAAGGCGGCAGGAGGAATCAATCTGCTCCTTAGCAAGAGGTGGTGGTGATTGTGGTAGGGCAGTGGGAGGGCCAGGAAACCTGCAGAGAAAGTGTCCAGGATGGAAGACCTGGGGTCTAGACCGCTGCTGGGCAGGCTCCTGAGACACAGAGAGCGGGCAGACAGGATGACCTTTGCCCTCCACTACCCTGAGTCTGCTCTATGACCTTAGAGTAGTCCTGATACAGACCCGAATTTCCCTGTCTGAAAATAAGAATGACTAATACTTTCGCTAAAGAGAAGGAAGCCATAAACTTTGAGAAAGCCGCATGTGCCAAATGTCAGTTACTGTCTCCTGCCTTGAAGAGATGTGTGACGGTGGTCCCTACCCTAGTCTGGGAGTCTCTTTCTCAACCTAGAACAGGACCCGACTGGGCTGTGTAACCGGATGAGCCTGAGTCCCGCCTCGGTTACTCCGCCAGGCTCGGCAGAATCTCTCAGCCCACCTGAGCCCGGCTCGGCCCCTGGCCAAAAGGGGACCCGGCCTGGCCTGCCTCACCTGCCGGTGGAGCGTAGCCTCGGGATGGGGACGGGATGTTTGCCCCCGTCCCCACGGTGGCCGTGGGACCACCTGAGGGTCGGTTCAGGGGCCGGCGCCACCCGTCCCGCAGGCAGAGGCATCTCCTCCACATCGCGCCCGAGGGCCTGGAAGGGCAACCGGTACGAAACCTGAGAGCAGGAAACACAGAGCTAAAGGATCGCCAAGCTGCGCGCTCCGGCTGTACGGAAACCTCTCGCAGCCTCCTAAAAGCGCTCACACTCCCCTGGACGCCGCCATCTTCTGCACGTCGCAAACGGCGCGCCGTCACTCCGGCGCGCCTCCCGCGCACACCCCCAGTCAATCAGCATCACAAACGCACCTTGCCCCGCCCCCTTCAAGCCGCACTTCTGGAAGAAGACTACAAGTCCCAGAGGGTGCCTCGTCCACCCCACCACGTGTTTTCTCTGCCCTCCAATGGGTGGAAGCGCCGCCTGATCCTGCTCCCGACCCCCAGGCGCGCCCGGGCCAATCGGAAGGGGTGTGTGAGTGAGTGAGTGAGTGAGTGTGTGTGTGCGTGTGTGCGCGCGGGTGTGTACGCGCGCGCGCGTGTCCGTGTGTGTGCGCGCGCGCGCGCGCGCGAGGGCAAGTGGGGAGGGGGACTCAGCTCAGGACCCGGGAGCCCTGCTTGCAGGTCCCGGGGGCCCGGTGGCGGCCGGAGCGGTTGGTCCGCAGGCAGCGGGCGGGTGGTCCCCCCCTCCCGCCCCAACCCAGCGCGTGCGCGCCCCGGCCCCTCCCTCCCTGCCACCCTCCTCGGCTCCCGCGCGGCGGCGGCGGTTCCTCTCCCCCTCCCCCAGCCCTGGCTCCGGGGGACCCCGCGATGCCGGTCCGCACCGAGTGTCCACCTCCGGCCGGTGCCTCGGTCGCCTCCGCGGCCTCGCTCATCCCGCCGCCGCCCATCAACACCCAGCAGCCCGGCGTGGCCACCAGCCTGCTCTACAGCGGCTCCAAGTTCCGCGGCCACCAGAAGAGCAAGGGGAACTCGTACGACGTAGAGGTGGTGCTGCAGGTGAGCGCCGGGCCGGGCCGGGCCGGGGCCCGAGGGCCTTCTCGCGGCGCTCACGGGCCGTGCCTGCCCCCGGCTCCTCGAGCCCGCAGCCGCGGACCAGGCCCACGCCGCCGGGCCTCCTGCACCCCGGCGCTTCACCCCGGGACCTGCCCAGCTGGTGTCTCACACTCGCCGAGCCCCAACCCTAACCTGCCCCTCACACCCGGAGCCTGTCGTGAGCAGCTCCCGGCAGACCCCGAACACTCTCCCAGACTTGAAGCCCTCCTGGGATCCGGAAGCCCCCATGCCTGGCCACCCTCACACTTGGGTCCTTCCTGTCCGCTACCTGTCGTCCCGCGACCAGCCCTCCCTCCAGCCCCTCTCAGACCCTGAAGCACTGTCCGCTGGTTTCTTCTGATTCGGGACCCTTCCGTGGCAGGGCCCGTGGCAGATTTTCGCAGACCTGTGACATGCCTCCTTTCCCCGCTTTCCTCAGTCCCAGGAAACCTCCTCCTAGGGCTTCCTTCTTGGGAGAGCTTCACCAGCCTCCTCAGACCTGGGGGCACCCTTCCTCCATTTGCCTCGGAACCTGCGAGCCCCCAAGCACAACCGATTCCTGGCCCTCGGCCCCGACGCCCCGTATCAGGCACACGGCCTGGGTGCTGCTGGGCGGGCCTCCTCACACTGTTGGGATCGTGTCTGCTGTGCCGGGTCCCCCCACCACCCGTCTCTCTGGTCTCCACGCCCAGCTCCTTACAGCTGCCCCACCCCCAGGCCCAGGGCCCTAGGCTTCTCCTGCTCCTAACCCCGCTCTCTGGCCCCTTGCCCTGACGTGGATAGCCAGACCTTCCCATCTCATACCTGTCTTCCTCCTTTCTGGCTCCAAGGGAGGCTTCCTAGCTTCTATCCACACAGCCAAGGCTTCCTCCCAGGGTCTGAGAGCCGTGGGCTGGGCACCCCACCTCACCCAGTTGGATTTCTCACCCTGACATTGCCTTCCCCTGCCCTTCCACCTCCTGCCGCCCACAGGACCTGGGTTTCTGAGGACCTGCCGGCCGCCCCGACAGCTTGCGAACTCCGGCTTCAGCTGCCCGGGCCCTTTCCCACGCCTCACCCCTCGTGCAAGTGGCAGTGCACTTCACACTTTTAAATACTCCCTTCCTCTCTGTACAAAAACGCCCCTCCTCTGTGGCTGCCTTGGCTTGCCGTGGCCCACTCCCCGCCTCACGCTCCCCTCTGTCCTTAGCCTGACACCTGCCTCCTAGGCTGTTTCTAACCCCCCCAAAGGCCTCGAAGCAGCTCTGAGGTCCTAGTGTGCTGCCGCGCTCTGCCCTGTGTGAGGCGGGGAGGCAGGCTCTCTTCTCCGTGTACTCGCCCTTTGCCCTTTCACGTCGTAATTCTTAAGCAGCCTCTCCTCTGAGCAAGTAGGTCTCCCACCCAAAAGACAATGGGAGCACATTTTCTTCCTGCCAACTGTAGGGCCCCTTTTTTTCTTACTATTTTGTGGGAATAAATACCCTCTTTTTTGCATTGGGAAACCTACATCTTCATGTTGATTTTATGTCTGGGCCATAAACTTAAGTTTCTATTGCGAGCCATTATATTTATTGTAATTGAAAAACTGTCAGGCTGAGGTATTTCAATCTTTGTAATTAACACCTCATGGTGGTCTCCCGTTCTTTGCTTGAAACGTAAGAATTCAGTACGGAGGTACCGGTGTGTTGCCTTCTCCGTGAGAATTGCAAAATTCTCCAAGTGAGGTCCCTGATGTGAGTGACTTTTGGAATGGTCCTGAATCTGCGCCCAGGGTGGAATCTGATGGTGTCTGGTGCGATAGGGGACAACTGGCGGGGGCGCTAAGTGTCAAAGAGAAGTCCGCTCCGGAGACTGCGGCAGCTACTCTGCCGTCACTGGTGCGCTGTTTCTGAATTTCTCTCAGGTGCCAGTTTCCTGGTGAACCGATGGAAGTGGTGATTGGGTTGGTGCCTGACTGATAGGTGTCAGGGAGGCCGCTGAGCAGGGTGTGTGGGGGGGCCGGCGGCCATGCCCCGCCGTGCTGCCACCGGTCCGGGGGGAGCCGTTTGCCCAGCCTTGAGGGTCGGCGGCCCATGCGTTGCCCCGTCACCTGTTTCTTCAGCCAGGACTAGTTTCCTAGGATACTACTACTGCCTTTTGTAACTCATCCTCTTCCCTGCTTGCTTTCTTTTTTTCTACAACAGGTTTATTTAGGTATAATTCACATACCATACAAATCACCCATGGAAGGTGTACAATTCAATAGTTTTTAGTATATTCACAGAAGTTGTATAACCATCATGTAATCTAATTTTCAGCATGTTGAAAAAAACAAAACCCAAACCCCTCAGCTGTATTGCCCCCCAACCCAAGACAACCCCTCGTTTATTTCCTAAGATTTACTTATTCTGGCCGTTTACCATAAATGGAATTATACAGTGTGTGAGCTGTTGTGTCTAGCTTCTTTCACTGAGCGTAGTGTTTTTGGGATTCACCCACATCATAGCATGTGTCTGCGTCATCTCTTTTTGTTTTTGCATAATAGTCCGTTGCGTGGGTACACAACAGTTTTGTTTATCCATTGATCCGTTGATAGATGTTTGGGTTGTTTTCACTTTTTGGCTGTTACGAATAATGCTGCTGTGAGCATTCATGCACAAGGTTCTGTGTGGCCATATATCTTCATTTCTCTCGGACAGATACCTAGGAGCGGAATGGCGGGTTCACGGGCTAACTCCATGGCTAACGTTTTGCGGAGCCGCCAGGCCAGCTGCGGGAGCGCCTGCGCCACCTTGCTCTCCGCCGGCAGGGCAGGAGGTCTCCGTTTCTCCGCGTCCTCACCAATACTTGTGTTGTCCCCCTTTTGGGTTGTAGCCGACCTAGTGGGGGTGAAAGTACCTCACCGGGGTTTGGATTTGAATTTCCCTGACGACTGGCGATGTTACACGTCTCTTCGTGTGCTCTTTGGAGCACTTTCTTGGTTTGAGCTTCCAGCTGAAAGAGTTCCTCAAACTTTGTGAGGTCCTGACTGGGTTTGTTGTTGTTGATACTGTGGCTATTCTGTTTCTCCTCTGCCGTCCAAGCAGCCAAGGGTAAAGTGAGGGCCAGGGTCCATGTGAAGGGAACATGAGAGAGAGCAGCTGTGGGATACAGCTGTGCCGTGAGACCTTCTTGCAAGTGCCTTGTTCCCGTTGAGAAGCCGGCCTGTTGTTCGGTTAAAGCTCTCTACACTACGGCGTATTTGAGCTCACCAGCCGTCAAGATCAATTTGGGGAGAATGGGAGAGACATGTGGTTGAATAGAAGCCAAAGTGAAATTCTGATTCTTGTGATAATCCATGCAAAATGTTGGCCAATTTACAGTTAAAGTTTTAATCTTATTAGCAAGTATCCTTGCCACCTGATACCCTTTCCAGTGGCTGTGAGATCCCAAACTACATTGAATTCAGTGAGAATTGCATACGTAAGTTTTAAGGCCTCAGGTTAGAGCCGTGTATCCTTTAATAAAAGATCTTTGCTGAACCAAGTTCGTGCGGATCAGCTGCTTTAGGTGACGCCCAATGCCAGGGTCAGCAGATGAGGGTATTTAAAATGCTTTGGCAGTTTTCACGTGGAATACTTTTGTCACCAGCGCCAGACTGGAGGCACTTTAGCTTCATTGAAGCCATTTGCTTTGGTGCTGACCCCATCTGGCTGAGTGAGCGCATTACAGTTTTTGAGGATTGCCTTAGTACTTGATTTACAGCGTAATTGGAAGCAGTTGAGTCCCCAAAGCTGAAAAATTCCATAAAACTTTTCCAGTTTCTTAAAATGAGACCTCACTTAACACTGAAGTATCAATGTGCTACAGCACCATTGTGCTTTGTCTCGCTTTAATTCCAGGGGTTTACTTTGTAAATACATTGTCATGAGATCTGAAAATCTGCCGATTCAGGACGGGACTGTAGAGATTGGGGTAAAATGCACCCGTTAGTGTGCATTCAACTATAAGCGACCACATCATTTCAAAATAGCTTCAAGAATGCAGGAACCCGCGGTGCCACATCGCACGAGGTTCGGAGGTGGCTTGGCCCAGGCCCTTCATCTTCCTGTGCCGCCATCCAGGGCGTTTCCCAGCCTCTTTCTCCTCGTGATCTCTAGGTGGCTGCCGCCGGGAGGGGGAGAGAAAGAGCTTCTCCAAAAGCCGAAATCTTTCCAGAAGCACCCAGAAGACTGATACACACATCGGACTGGCCAGAACTGGGTCACTCGCCCCTAAACCAACAACTCACGGGGGCGGGGACACATGTTTGCCCTGGATCCAGCAGGGTTGACCAGGTCTCACGGGGCCAGGGCTGAGGAAGACCTGGGCCCTGCCCCTCTGAAAAAATAAGAGATAGGTTAATGGGTGGCTGCTGAACCTCAAAATCTACCCCATTACTTCTGTTTATTTTAGGCCCCTCATCAGAATCAGAAATTCATCAGAAATACAAGCACCTGTGCAGGAAACGGCCGAGCAGGCCTTCGCAGTGTGTTTGGGTTTGGGGTTGGCATTTTGGTTTATAACGAATTTATACCACATAAGTTTTTGAAACTTGCCTTTCCTGAATATTCCACCCGTTTCATAAATGATGCAGGATGGTGCTTCGCGTAAATACAGGAAAGGGGTGGGCTCGTTAGACCAGCGGCTCAGCAGCGCAGACACGGGAATAGGCAAAAAGGACGCCGGCAAGCAGGGGAAGCCCAGGTTACGGGTGACGCCATGGGCACAGGTAGAGATGGAGGCCCACAGGTCAGCGACGCACACAGTCTGCAGACCAGGGGACACAGTTGCTGGAGGCAGCCCAGAAGGAGGCCACAGCGAGCTTGCCGGGCCAGGAGGGGGCTTCGGTCCCAAAATACTCAGCCGAAGGAAAGTGAGCCTCCTCTGAACAGGCACACGGATGGGGGAGACTCACACGGGTCTGTCTCCAAGGCTGGTGAGCGCGAGGCCGCGTGCCGACCTCAGGCCTCCCTCGCCCTGCTCAGTCTCGAGGACGAGCCCTGGGAGTTACGCCGGCATGTCGCCCGGGGGTTCCTGCGTTTGTAACAAGGCTGTGTGTCCTTTCCTTCCAGCATGTGGACATGGGCAACTCTTACCTTTGCGGGTACCTGAAGATTAAAGGCCTTACTGAGGTAAGCACTCATTTCAATGAACTAGAACTAGAAAGTAAACTGCACGCGCAGTAGCCTCAGAGCGGGAAGGGCAGGCCGCTTCGACTCCTTGCGGCCTGCTTGGAGTGCTCTGCCTCTAAGTGGTGGTATTGGATGGTGAGCCTAAAGCATGCAGTTTTGATGTGTCCTGTTGCAAAGTATACGGATTGGTAAATCTTTAAAGTTTATGAGTAAGTCACAATGTGACTAATACTGTTGACTTCACTTTTAAATCATTTTTGAGAAAAAACATGTAGGAAGAATATAGCTACCACCTTCATAAGCTTAACAATTTCTGAAATGACCATCTCCTTCCCAAACGAGGTCTTTGGAGTTCTTTAGTTCCCTGGGTCAGTGAAAAACGATCATCCATTTTCTAACAGAAGTAGCTGCTACATAAACGTAGAGTGTTTTGTTTCCTTTGAACCAACTTTTTAAACTTCAGAACTCCTGGAAATACAGGAAGCAAGAAAGAGCATCCTTTCTTTTCCCATTAGTGAGTAAACAGGAAGAGGAAGGAGGGGACCGAACTGGCCGCCTTGGTCCACGGCGAGGGCTGGGCCAGGCCTGGCTGCAGCGTCCTGTGGGCCTGGCCGGGCCTCGCCATCCCGCTGTCCCCCGCGGTGTCTGCGAATGCTGCCGGGAGCCATGGGAGGGAGCTGGGTGGCATTCTCCCTCTGTCGCTTACTGGCTCCATGACCTTTCATTTCCCTTCAGTTTCCTCATGTATAAAATGAGAATTAAAAATACCTGCTCTCTCTACTCAGGGGGCTTGTCCTAGTGGGGAGGAAACAGTGTAATAGAAGCGGTAGGTTATAATGTGATACAATGTGGAATAGGAACAGGGCCCTGATTATCCCTCGGTCTGGACACAATTGTTTCTGTCTCCTTGATTCCATCTGGTTCTCCCACTTGTCTGTGAGAAGTTCGGCTGAGAATTTCCAAGGAAGTTTGCCATGGAGATGAACAGGTACTGGCTGCATCACCTCTGGAGACTGATCCAGTCAAGCAGGGATGGGAAACAGAGCAGCATGGAGGATGCTAGCCTTTGAATAGTGGAGAACACATAGTAAACAGAGTATGTTCAGCTCTTAGGCAGCCAAAGTAATTGAGTGCAGAACATAAACATTTAACTTCATAAGGAAACCAGGAACATTTGTAATGCAGAATACTTAATGTTGATTCTAAAAATCAGTCATCTGGTCATAGGAAGCTGCACAGAAATGCTAAGTAGCATTAGAAGTCCCCAGACAGTGTACAGAAAGGCTGTGAACTCTCCATCAGGAGCAGGTGACCCCAGTGAAGGAAAGCACCTCTGAGTCCTAGACAGCCAGGGTCCCTTGAGGAAGGGGTACTGGCGTGGCCCTTCACTGGAGGCCAGCCCAGGGCGACCAAGGTCCGCGGCCAGTGCTCGGAGACCATGCTCCTGGCCAGGCCTTCCCGCCTGCGCCTGGAGCAGCCTCGGGAGCACACACCCTCCTCAGAGTGGCCAGCGCCAGCTGCAGTGGTGGACTCGGTTATGGGGCTGAAGTGTCATTTAGGGAGAGAACGGCTGATGCGTTTCCTGAGGTTTCTGAGTCGTGCTCAACCTGAGGATTCTTCGAATTCATCCTTTAAAAAAGAAACGATTTTATTTATTTTTAGAGAGAGGGGAAGAGAGGGAGAAAGGGAGGGAGAAAACATCAATGTGTGGTTGCCTTCCATGCGCCCCCTAATGGGGACCTGGCCTACAACCCAGGCGTGTGCCCTGACTGGGAATCGAACTGGTGACCCTTTGGTCCACAGGCCAGCACTCAGTCTGCTGAGCCACACCAGCCGGGGCAAATTCATCTTTCTAAGTAACATTTTTTAGTAACTTTACTGAGGTATATTCACTTACCATGCAACTTACCCATTTAAAATGTACTGTTCATTGGCTTTTAGTATAGGTGTGGTGTTATGCAAATCCTTAATAACGTTTTACATTTTAAATCTAATACAAGGTCACTGTAGATAATTAGTAAAAGGCAGAAAAGGGTGATAATTCTAAGAATGATTTTATACCAGTATTATAAAATGCAGTTATCCATTTTTGTTTTTCCATTTATAGCTATTAAAGTCTCAAGTATATAATTTCTTTTAATAAAACTATTTAAATGACGGGTTTTAGTTATAGTCTTCCTTGTGTTTTCAATATGGAATTAACTATTAAATTGGAGCTAATTTGCCTCGTTGCTACCTCACATTCACAAACAAGCACAGCTTTAAAGTTTGTGTGCGTTCTGGAAATGCAATCCCAGAATTGTGAAGAATGGGTGTCAAGTAACATCCCCTTCGCAGTCCTGAGCCAGCAGCGGGAGGGACCACCCCTGGGGAGGCCCCGGCAGGCAGCCGGCACAGGCCTGGCCGAGTCCAGATGGGGGGCAGTCTGTCAGCCCCCCATGCGTTCCCTGTGCCAGTTTAGAAAGCTCCAGAAGCTCCCTCTGAGGTTGTGCGCAACCTGCTCGGAACAAGGGAGACAAGAGACTGATGTGTAAACAGAGTGCTAGTTTACACATTTACAAAACGAGTTACATGCGTGTTCTGGAAGTTCTCTTCTGCTTACTGGCTAATTGAATGTGGATCCCCCAGGAGACAGGTCGACATGGAAAGCCAGACCTGTCACCAGACAGTTTTTGGTGAGCCTGGAACCTGAGGGGAATGGGTGGTGCGTCTTAGATGCCTGGCAACAGCCTGTCCACTGTAGGAAGTCCGCGCCTGCTCGGTGGGGGGCGGGGGGTGCTGGCTACGCCTCTTCTCTCCGATGCCCCCCTACTCCCTTCTGCGATGGAGTTCTTTCTGCAGCTCTGTGAGTTACCATCACCGCCCCTTCGGCTGCTGCCAGGTGCTTGAATTTCCTGTTCCTGCACTGAGACACTGTCTTTGCTGACTTCTGTGTATAGTAACTCTAATTCATTAAGCATTTTATTTAATTCTCTGAGTTTGAGGGATGTTAGAGTCACCCTGATATACTGCCTATAGTGTTTTTAGGGAAAAGTCAGTGCAGAATCATTCATTAGGAAAATGGATTTGAACCATAAGTATTTTCTTTACATTATAATAAACCACTTTATCATTTTTTCTCTCTTTTATAGAAATTTTGAAAAAATATTAAAGTTTGCAACTCAGAAAATTGCAGTTGTGTGTATACAAAACAGTTTATTCTTGTATTATTATTTATTATTGTATTATTTTCCATATGAAAAATTATAAGCCTACTTTTGCCCCACCCTGTATATAGCTCTTTTTAATAAGATTTTATTTATTTATTTTTAAAGAGAGGAAGGGAGGAAGAAAGAGAAATATCAATGTGCAGGAGAAACATCAGTCATTTGCCCCTCATGTGCTCTCAATCAGCGACCTGGCCCACGCCCAGGCATGTGCCCTGGTAGGGAGTCGAACCAGCGACCCTTTGGTTTGCAGGCCAGTGCTCAATCCACTGAGCCATGCCAGCCAGGACTAAAGCTTTTAATTTAAAATCTTCAATCAGGTGCTAACTTATTTAGAACTTTTTTTCCTTAGTAGACCTTCCTAAAACAGATTAGTGTAATTTAGTTGATACCTTTAAAACCAGGTTTCCATTGAGAAAATTTTCTCTTTCATTTCCTCTCTTTGTATGTATAAATATCTCAGAGAAGAACCCCGCGGCAGTGTTGGGGTGAGGGCTGTGGTTTGGGGGGGTGTTACGTCTGTAGAACCTGGAGGCTCTGTTCGACTGGCACGCCCGGCATGTGCAGTGCCGCAGGCCCCTCCGTCACTGCAGCGGCGGTGACAGTGCTGGCCCCTGGCCACCGCCAAGGCTGAGGGGCAGCCCCCTCACAAAGGCGCCAAGCTGGGGGCAGGAAAGGCTGGGAGGGGAGGCAAAGCCACTGGAGCAGACGTGTTTTCAACATGTGTAGATGTTTGCTGCAGAGTCAGAGCGTCTTACGCAGGGCCTGAAGAAGAAAGTAGGGTCTTTGCGGTCCCGGGGATGTTAGGGCTGTGATTCTTTTTTTTTTTTTTTTTATTCTGTGCGGGAATTTGGAGGCTGGTCAGTGTAAAATTATGTCCAATGAGACAACACAAGGGCTGTGATTCTGATTTGCCGGGTACCCCGGTCACTGCCCTGCTCCCGAGGACCCCCCGGGACTTGGCCGCTGGGCTGAAGGTGGGCAGGCGGGTGGGTTGGTTGGTTTTTTCACAAATGCAGAGAAATGGTGGTGGAGTTTCTACCGTGTTAATTTTTCTTCCATTAATTGGGTGCCTCCTTAGCAGATGAACAAATAACAAATAAAATGAACAGGAATGTTTTGAGCACTCCAGTAGGGATATAGCTTATTTATTTTTCCAACAGAATTCTTTTTATGGTTGTGATTTTCAATTGCAAATGTGATTTACATATATTTCCCTAGTATAAATCATCTTTGCTTATATGATGATAGAATTTACTGTATCAAGTATATTAAGGTATTCTCCCCAAAAAATCCACCGCTAAAAACTTGAGGAATTGGCATAAAAGCGACAAAACACTGAGCCAGTGTGAGAACCAGTGGGCCACGCTGTGGCATCAGGGAGACTTAGCTGTGAGGGCTGCAAGTCTGGAGGCTGTTTGGGTGTTTTCCTTGGAAAGTACAATCTACTTAGTTACCATATTCTTTGTATGTTGGAATATTCAGAATTTACTCGTGGGGATCATCCAGATTCTCCTTTGAGTGATCAACACACAACAAGTGAAGCCAGGGAAAGTTCTCTGCTTCTGGTAAAGTCCCTGAAGTCCAGGAGGCACCCCACTGCCTGGGCGCCTTCAGTTCAGGTTCTCTCCACAACTGTCGACAAATTGTCAGGTTGTTGGTTAGACTGTGATCATTTTTTTTTTAAATATTGAGAAGAAGTTAAAGTAAGGTTGATTTTTCCTTTGTAAAAGGTTAAAATTCCTGTTCAACATCTTGTTTTGATATTTGGGTTTTTACCACAGGAGTATCCAACCCTTACGACCTTCTTTGAAGGAGAAATAATCAGCAAAAAACACCCTTTCTTAACCCGAAAGTGGGATGCGGATGAAGATGTTGATCGGAAACACTGGGTGAGTAAATCTTTGATCGTCCTGGGCCACCAGGGGGCGCCGAGGAGCTGGGCGCTCAGGCTCTTACCACTGCCTCCCTGTCCTCTCTCTTTGTCCATCTCCTGTCCACGGGTCCTTTCTAACCTCCTGCGCTGGGGGAAGTCCCGGGAAACACACAGTGCTGGCCTCTGGCCTCTGGCTTCTGACCTCAGGTTCCGAGTCAGAGGCGCAGTTCCTGGAAGGCTGTCCCTCCCCTTGGCAAAAACCGAGTGAGAGGAGGCTTCCTCTCCTCCCGTCCCCGCCTCCACCGAGAGCCGGCCCCGCCCCTCCCGGCAGGTGTGGGCGTGGCCTCCCGCGCTGTAGGGGGCGCCCGGCAGCTGGAGCGCCCCGTCCTCTTTCCTTCAGTTGTCGTACAAGTCTTGGTGTCTTCCAAAATCCATTTCTCCTAGTGGCCTTCGGCTTCGCTGACCGTGGCAGTGCTACATTTTGGTTTGACACTGAGGAAGGCCAACGTGGTCACCCTCTAAGCCAACCGGAAATGATTGTTCGTGCTAGTGAAGAGGAGGCGAAAGTCCTCGCGAGTCCTCACCGTGGCGGTGCCTGCCTCCCCTGCCGCCGGCCAGCGGGCCGCGCGCCCGCGGAGGAGCCCCTGCTGCTGCCATACCCCCCGTCTCAGTTCCCCGTCGCTGTAGGCGAGCTGCTTTGCTTGTTAATGTTTTTCTTTTGAGTTAGGAAAGGAACATCTATCAAATGCTGAGTTTGATTAAATTTAAATTTAGACTTGAGCTTTTTGGAACGTTTTTGAAAGTTACATATTTTGACCGTTGTAGCAGAGAGACACTAAAACTGAGGTAGTCCTTTGTGTCTCCGTAATGTGAAAGAATGAACAAGATTTGCGTATCCAGAAGGTTTGGCAGAGCCCTAGTGGTGGCCGATGAGCGCCAGGGTCCGCGAGCAGTGCTGGCCCTTCCTGCGGGGCTTGCGGACTCAGGACGCGGCCCCCTCCGCTCCCGGGCGGCCTCAGGGGGGAGGTCCCTCCTTGTCCTGAACCACATCTAATCTCCATTCAACTTTGGTTTCCATTTCAAATGGGTTCTGCAAAAAGTAAGGTCTTTGAGGTCCGGTGAAGCCCCAGTCCGGGGCTTGCTTGGCTGCACATTAAATACCTGGAAAGCAACTCTCATTTTCCCATGGGCTTCCCATGAGAACTCTGGAAAATATCTGGGTCTGGACTGAAATATTTGGAGTGAAAAAGGGACAGAGAATGTCGCCCTTGGCACGGGTGTGTGCTGGCCGTGCGAGACAAACTTGGGCCTGCGGACCACGTGCTCAGCGGCGCCCAGGGCCCCGCCCCCGCGTGCGCGCACCCGGCCGCGTGGCACCTTCAGTTGTGAGGGGTTCCCAGTGCCTCATGGGCCGCGCCCATGGCGTCCCTTTTCCACTGTGAACTGGAATCAGAGCATTGCCCGTCGCCCTGGGGCGCGTCTGAACGCTGATTGACGTTGGTGCCACTGGGGAGCTGCAACAAAGTCAAGGTTCCCAGCGGTTAATCGCCTTAGAATAAAAATATCTGCGTAACAGATTCTATGGCTTAATATCTCTATATCCTCATTTAAGACACTTTATAAAATTATTACATGCTTACTTTAAAATATTTGCTAAAAAACAGAAAAGCAAGTGGAGAAAAGCCACTTATAATGACAATACTCAAAGCTAAAGCAGGTACTAACCTTTTTCTAGATCTCATTTGAGTGCCTATACTTTTTTCCTTAAAAAATGGGATCATAAGATTTTGTAACTATTTCTAGTCTCCTTTTCTTTTTTTTTTTAACTTAACCACATAGTGCCCATTTCCAGTTTCTACTTACCTCGCTGGTCGGTCGCACTGTCTGTGTCAGAAGGCCGGCTTCACCGAGCCCTGTCTGCCCGCGGCTTGCCGGAGGGTTCTGAGCGGGCCTGCCTGTCTCTGGCCTGCTGCCTGCCTGCCTGCCTGCCTGCAGGGATCTGTCCCTGGTCCTGGCTCACCTGTTGAAGGAGGCAAATCCTGTCTGCGGCCAGGTGCTCTGGGAAAAGGCCCCCGGACCGGCACCTGTTCCGTCCTGCCACCCTCCTCAGCTGCTGGGGCCGGGCCCGAGTGCACTGGGGAGACCGAGGCGCTCTTGTCCATCCTCAGCCTCCGCCGCTCTCGCCGGCGCGGCACTGGAGCCACCACACCCTTGAGAAGGCGCTGGCCCCGGACGCCACGGGCAGCCCTACTGCCAGAGACTTACTCTCTCACCCTGTTCTTTGCTTGCAGGGCAAGTTTCTGGCTTTTTATCAGTATGCAAAATCATTTAATTCAGACGACTTTGATTATGAGGAGCTGAAGAACGGGGACTACGTCTTCATGAGGTGGAAGGTAAGCCCCGGCGGCGGCCCGCCGCGCCCGTGTCCGGTGCTCCATGCCGCTGGTCTTCTGGCAGGGCCTTCACACGTTCCCAGAACGCCGGCGCGGCCCCAGGCACCGTGCCCCGCTGCTGGCACCCTGGCGGTTCCCCTGCGGCCACACTGTCGGTGGGAGCAGATGAATTCAGGCCTCGGGGTGCGCCGCTGAGACGCTGTTGTCTGTGTCCTCTCCCCGCCTTCCTCCCACCCGAGAAGCCCTTGCCTCCAGGTGGAATCAACCCTCGGGGCCTGTGGACTCAGGGGAGGGCCTAATGCTCCTGAGCACAGGTGTCCCCTGCCCCCTGTTCTCAGCCACAGGCTTCAGTGCCCTCAAGTGACTGATCCTCACCATGCCCTTGCCCAGGGCCCACCCAGTGTGGCCTCAGCTCCTTGGGCTCCCTCCCACTCAGGAAACGAGGGCCCAGGAATGGAATTCAGGTTTTCCACTCACCAGCCCTCGGAAAACTCCATCTGGCTGGACTCCCTGGATTGGCTGTGGGCTGAGAATTCACGTGTGCTCCCTGCTTTGGTAGTGTGATAGTTGCTCTGTTATCGCCACAGGATAGCAAAATCATGAAGCGAGTTTGTTAAGTCGCTTTGTGAACATACACCTACCTCCAAGCCTTACTCCCCAGTCTATAGGAATAGCTGTTTTATCTTGAAATCTTGCTGGCTTTCATATAGACAAATCATATTTTTAAAGATTTTATTATTTTTAGAGAGAGGGGAAGAGAGGGAGAAAGAGAGGGAGAGAAACATCAATGTGTGAGAGAAACATCCATCGATTCTGTCTCACGTGCCCCGAAACAGGAACCCAGGCAACGTGCCCTGACCAGGAATTGAATCAGAGACCTTTCGCTTTGCAGGGTGATGCTGAGCCATGCTGGTCAGGGCTGTGGAAGCATCATTTACAGGAGCCACTTGCACCTTCACTGTGTGTAGTTAGTAATTTCGGGGGTGGGGTCACCCGCCAGGGGCTGCTGGGTGTGCGCCGTGCGCTCGGGGGCTTGCCCTCCTGTGGGGGCATGCCATCTGACTTACCTGTTAGAGGGAGTATCTTGTAAGGTTCCCGTTTTTAAATTAACTTAAAAAACTACAATTTCAGAGGTTGAGGAAACGGGGAAAAGAGTATCTTAAGATCAAAAAAGCAAAGCAGTAGTTTTGTCTCCAAAGCGTTTCTCAGGGCAACTCGCCTGTGGGCTTTTCGCAGACCTCTTAGGCCCCAGGCCCCCGACCTGGTCTCCCTGGGAAAGGAGGTAACGGTGCGGTCTTGCAGCTCTTGGCTCCAACCAGAGATAACAAGCTTGCCCCTCATAAGGTGCCTGATCAAGAACAGTAACGTCCTACTGCTCTTGGTGAGGAGTGGAGCCCTGTAGGGGGTATGGCGAGGGCTGCCAGAGATTGAGCTGCCCTTAGAATGATCCATGGGCCAACAGAAGTGACCCACTGCTGTCGAGGTGATCGGGGACCTCGTGACAGGTCCTGGAGTGGGGTGGAAACTTACCCTTCCCAGGCTGTTCTGTTTGTGGGCTCTGAAAGGCAGGTAGGAGGTGTGGGTTCGTATATGAGATGTGTGGACCGTGGCACCTTGCCCTAGTGGCTCATCCTAGAGAGCTCGAGGCCGCCTCCCGCATCAGTGCCAGGGTGCGCGAATGGCCCGCCAGAGCCCTCCTCGGGCTGGAGGAGGGGCGGAGACTTTCCATCCCCAGCCCCGCAAGCCGGCATGACCCTGTGCCGGCGGGGCCTTGGCACCTGCTGGTGGGTAACAGGGAGGCCCCAGAGGGGTCGCCATGTGCTGTTTCTGACCCTCCTCTCTGTGCAGGAGCAGTTCCTGGTCCCAGACCACACGATCAAAGACATCAGCGGTGCTTCTTTTGCCGGGTTCTACTACATCTGCTTCCAGAAGTCGGCAGCCTCCATAGAGGGCTACTATTACCATAGGAGCTCAGAATGGTAAGGATCCCCAGGGGCCAGGCCCGAGGCTCGCTGCCCTGGCCCTTCCTGGCTCACTGAACCCAAGAGGAGATCCCGCCCCCGGTCTGTGCGAGTGCGTGCTCTGTTTGGATGCAGAGGGCCTCTTTAAGCGATCCGTTGCTCACTCACACTCATCCCCAGGCACAGAGCTGAGCAAACGAGGTGGAAGGAAGGGTTAGGTGAAGGGACTCACTGCTAAGTGCTTTCTGTGTTTTCCCTGTTGTTCATCTCAGCCTCGGTGGCTTTGTATTCATTCCTCCCAAATCTAACCAGTGGCTGAGGTCAGATCCAGCTGCAGACAGTGTGAATTTTGCTGTCAGCAGCCTTTTTAATTTTGTGGTTATGTTCCTGGTCCCAGGAATTCACAGGTCCCACGTGCACTTGATTTTAGCCTTGTGACCCAGGGGCCCATGGCAGCTGACCGTCCTGCCCTGTGTGTGGTTCAAGGTGAAGGACCAAATGCCACTGCAATGCTAGTTTTTGTCACCTTTTGGGGGATCGCCCTGTTTCCTTCCTGCTTCTTAAGCACCTTGTTATATCTGAAGGGTGAACTGTATCATAAAATACCTGATTTCTTCTCGGAACCTGGAAACACCTGCTCCCATTCAGGTTCCTCCCGCTCCTGCGACGCGTGGGGGACCCCCGCTGCATTGACTCAGCCTTCTTGTTCTGGGCCCTTGGGCTCAGGGGGACCCAGCTCCTCCGAGGGCCATAATTATTGGGATGTCAATGAATTGTTTTCAAAGGCATTTTTAAAACTTTTAATAGTTATTTTTAAAGAAACAGCTTTATTGAGAGGCAATTCACTTGCCATACAATTCACTCATGTAAAGTGTGCCATTCAGCGGCCTTCCGTGTGTCCGCAGAGCTGTGCGGCTGTCGCGCCGGAAGGAACCCTGCACCGCTGGCCCCCCACCACGCCGCCCCACCCCAGCCGTAGGCAGCCGCTGAGCTGCAGTCTGTCTCTGCCAGTTGGCCAGTTCTGGGTGTTTTATGTAAATGGAATCATACACTATGTATGTGGCCTTTGCGTCTGGCTTCTTTCACTTGGCGTAACAATGTGAAGGATTAGCCATGTTGTAAGGACGTATTAGTACTTTATCGGGGACTCATTTTGCATCGTAAGGATATACACCACGTTTTGTTTATCCGTTCATCAGCTGACAGACACTGGGGTTGTTTCCACCTTTTGGCTATTATGAATAATTCTGGTCTGAATGTGGGCGTACAAGTATCTGTTTGAGTCCTTGCTTTCAGTTCCTTTGGGCATATACCTAGGAGTAGAATTGCCGGGTCATATGGTGATTCTATTTTTAACTTTCTGAGGAACCACCAAATAGCAGCTTCGCCATTTTGCATTTCCCGCCAGGGATGCATGAGGTTTACAATTTTTCCACTTTCTCCATACCGTCGGCAACACTGTGATGTCTTTATGACAATCGTGTCCTGGTGGGTGTGAAGTGGTATCTTGTGATTTTGATGGCTGATGCATTGTCCTTTCCTGATGCTTTTGGTAAGAAATAAACTGCTTTCTGCTGCGCCCTTCTCATGCCTGTGTGACACAAGCCGGGGCAGAGCTAACACACAGACCAGTCAGCCTGGCTGGCCCTGGGGCCAGCACCCCACACAGGGGTTGTCCTGGGCTCTGTTTCGCCTGCATCTGCCTGGCGCCTCAGAGCGCCATGCCCAGGGAGCCCCGGATAGCGCCTCTGCACGCGCCGATGTCCTCAGGGTCCGAGGTTCACGCCCGCAGAGCAAGAAGAGGAGCATAAGGGGTAAAATAGGGCCAGCTGTGAAGCTGCCTTTCCCGTGCTCTCTTCAGGTCCCGTGTTCGCCGTGAGGCTGCAGGGCTGCTGCGCCTGATGCCCCAGACGGGGCAGAGACGCCGCCGTGGGTGGGGCAGGGCGGGGGGAGCAGCGGGAGGGAGGGGGTGCCCAGCCTCAGCCCGGTCCCTGCTCGGGCGCAGGAGCCTCTCCCTGAGTAAGACATGCCCCTGGGGTCCCTCTGTGGCCGCGGCGGGAGGCCTAAACATGGCTCTTGGCAGGCGTAGCTTGGGAGGGTGGGTCGTAGAAATAGAAATAAAACCAATCTCGGCTCCCCCAGAGAAGTCCGAGGTGAACAGATGAATTTGCGTTGCACCCGAGTCTGCGGTTTGCCGGGTGCTCTGATTGGGGCTTTTGTTTCAACGCCCTGTGTTCGACCCCCAGGTCGCTGAGGCCACCGCCTCCTGTTTGTCTTTCCTCCTGCTGCAGGTATCAGTCGCTCACTCTGACCCATGTCCCTGAACACAGCGCACCCATCTATGAATTCCGGTGACAGCGGCTCTGAGCAGCAACCAAATAAAACTGAACTTGGCGAAAAAGAACTTTGCCAAGAAAATTGTATACCTGCCAGAACCAGGAGAACCTGCGTTCCTGTTTCTTCACAAGCAGACTTGCATCAGAAAGCATGAAAGCCGACCCGCAGAGCCCTGGCCGAGTGGCAGGCGGGCGGAGGGGCTGTCTCCATTCTTCCTCCCTTCTGTGGCCATTCGCTCTGACCCTGATTTTACGCTACCTTATATGCACTTTTCCTTCCTGCACAGCTAACTTCTGCATCACTGAAATGCCCACTCCTTCCTCCATCCTGCCTCCAGCCGAGTAGAAGGTCAGCCCCGGGTCACCCTCAGCCTTGGTGCTCAGTGGTCCCCAGCCAGGCCCCCCACCCCCAGTTGCTTAGTCCGGTAGCTCAAGAAAAAGCAGAGGCCCAGCACCCATGTGCCCCCCAGAGCTCTGTGCGGGGAGCTGGCGAGCTGCAGCAACATCCGCCAAAGAAACACAAGGCGGAGGCTGAGTGTTCAGTGGAGTCGCTGGGCGCTGCCCAGCCCTGTGATGTTCACTGCGAGCTGGTCAGTGGCGGGCAGGACCCGTGGGCCTGCCCCGGGGCCACTCAGTGCAAGGCTTCCAGACCCCTGGCAGGAGCAGATTCCAGTCGTGCTCACTCAGCAAGTTGGCTCCAAACTTTTGAACTTGAGGGCAATACTAAACTTTTTTAAAAAGTTTTTTTAATTGCAAAATTATTTTTATGATCCCTTTAACAAGGACCCTATGGCAAATGCACAATTATTCAGAATTACATTTTATCGTTTTCACATTGAAAACAGCAAATGTTGACTTAGTAATTTTTATACCTATATCTATATGTAAATGTATATTTAATCAACCAGCAGTTTGAAACTAGTCACCCTGGTACTAAAGTTTTGCAGTACTGCATAAGTCACAGTGCTGAACAGGAGAGCTGCGTTGGGGGCCAGCTCAGCACTTGCGGCTCCTCCTCTGCTACTCGGCCGGAGGGCAGTGCTTCGTGGCGATCTCGTTCATCCTGCAGAGGGGGCCGTCACTCTCCCAAAAGAGCGATGGAAATGTTGGGACAGGGAGGGGCGGGGACATGAACATGCTCAAGTAACTCGAGGCTCACGTGCCAAAGTAAGTGTGTGCGTGCGTGTGTGTTTTTGTTTTGTTTTTGTTTAATGTTTGAAAAGCTTAGTAGGTTGGTATCGGGCATGGCCAGCAGACATGAGCAGGGCTTTGGGGGACTGGCATTTTCTGGCGGTCTAGGAGGCTTGCTTGGAGTACAAGAGGGAAGGCTTTCACAACAAGACAGCATTGCAGCAGGAGTAGAGCAAGCCGAGAGGTGCCTCTCATGGGCCATGTGAGAGGACGCAAAGCCCTCGGTCCGGCCGAGTGCTGGGGAGTGTTTCATTCTTAAAGAGTGACTTTCCTTTTAACGGCATATGCACTGTTGTTACAGAGACTGACTGTGAGCGGACACCGCACAGGAGAACGGGGTGGGAGAGGAGGGAGTCGGCGTCAGGACAGCCATGCCGACCTCCCAGGCCTCGTGCAGAGGGGTAACCGGCCGCTAGGCGGGCCGGGGCCATGGAGCCTAGAGTGCTGCCTCGGTGCCTGCGTGGCAAGTGGTTTGCAGCTATTCTCAGACAGGAGTCAGGAGTGTTTTCTTGAGTTTAAAACTCCAAAAGGCAACACATGGGTGGATGTGTTCGAATCGGGCTGAATGCACGGGGAGGAGGCGCTGGCGGTGCTGTGGCTTCAGCCCAGCTGGCCAGCATCGCCTGCGGGCTGTGCTGCTGGCCACGCTCCTCCACGGTCCTCCGCGGCCAGCTCGCAAGGGGCATCTGCGCTTTGCAAGCTCCTTGAAGGACGTGGGCCTCCCTAGGACACTGGGAGGTGGGGTCGCCTCTGTAGCAAACCAGGGCCTCTGTGGCCGCGGGAGGTCGGCGGGTTGGTGGGGCCGGCGGAGCTGCCAGGGAAGGACATTAGCAAACACGGATGGTGTCAGGCTAGCCAGAGGGGTTCTTCTATGTAGGATTTCCTTCTTCCTTTTGTAGCCATGTAATGAAGTGCACCGGTTGTATTGGGGGAAATGAAGAAGTGATACCTTTACTAGATCTTTTGGGCGCATCTGTGATGAAGTTTGTCCACGTAAAACCTGCCTGTTGAGGACAAGGAAGGGGTTGTTTTCCACCTCCTCTCGGTCACTCCCACGCTGTCCGCATCGACTTCCGCGCTCTTGCTCAGTTCCTGAAGGCACTTGGGGATCCTCTCCATCTGCAGTTACTCTTTCTGGAACCTTCTCAGTGGTTTACATGCCTCTGGTATTATGTGCAATATTTTGGTTGACACTTGGATTCATCATTCAGAAATTAGTGCAGATTGCAAATTTTCTGCCGTCTTCCTCTCCCCAAACAAGCCTGCCGAGAGGTGAGGTCTTAGGAATTTGGCAGTTTTTATTTCACTGCTCAGAATGCTTCCTTTCTGTGGTCCCAGCCTGGTCGTCGCTTTGTGCTGGAATTACCCCTTCCCACTCACCCCTCCTTTTCAGCTGCGGCCCCAAGGTACCCGAGCAATGCCCGATGTGAAGTAGGGAGTCCCCCCGTGGGCTGGCTCTGTTGGTGATGTGGACATTACAAACTCCAGGGGAGTAAGGGGCTTTTCAACGTCATTTACTTTCTGAAACAGGGAATTTCTATTCTCTCTAAGGCCTTGAATTGATTTTTTCCTCATAAAATAGTCTGATAAGCTAATTTTTAAAAAGAAATGCCATTAAGTATGTTGCATTGTCGTTTAAAGTTACTAACGAGTTCTGGGGAAGAAAAATATTTGATTTTGAGTCTTATATGTTTTTAAAAATTAGACGTGCGTGGGCGCGAAGCACGACTGTTGTTCCTTTAGGGAGGCCGTGCGGAGGGGTGTGCGGGTTGGGGCGGGAGAGGTATTTTGCAGAGCTATCAATGTCCAAATAATTTTTAAAAAAATAATAAAGGTATTTAAGCAGTGAGCATGTCCTATTTCTAAATCGAAACCGCTTTGTTAGGCAACACCAGTTCTCCTCCTAACTGCGTGGTGTTGGAGGCTCCCAGGCCATTGAAGGCCCCAGGCTGCCGTGGCTGTGAGCTGTGCGGGCCGAGGCCCACTCGGCAGCCGCCGCAGCGCCAGGCCCTCGCTCCGCCTCGGTCCCGTACGGTCAGGCACTCAGCACTTCTGTTTGAGCTTCATTTTGTTAACTTCTGTATTTTTTCCCATGTACTCTGGATTTATACTCTTATTTAATGCAGAAAATAGGCAGACAGAGCTTTGTGTTCACCATCTGCTTCGCAGTCTGGCTCTGGCACAGGCGGTGTGGACGGGGATAGGCTGCTGCCTGTTCCCCCTCTGCACCTGATGCCCCGGGGAAACGCCTGAGCCCCAAAGCTCCAGAAAGGCTGTGCCCGCCCAGGTCCTGAGTCAGAAGTGAGCGGCAGGCTCTGGCCCTTGATTTCTCGGCACCCTGCAGTCGAGGGCCCCAGCCCAGCCTGCTACACTTGATTGGGCTTTTGATGGGCCATGCTGACCGCTGGCAGCCCGCGGCTTTCCTGTCACAGGATCGGGTTTCAGGTGCCAGCGCCCTTGGCGCCCAGGAGCTTGGCTGGGAACACCATTTGAATTTTTGAGGAAATGTTTATAGTGTTGAAAAGGTTTAAATTTTAAGCAAGATGAAATCCTAAGAGAATTTACATTAAACTCAGGGCAAAGTTCCCCTGTGTGTATAAAGTATCATCTGATCTCACATTGTTGGAACAATAATAATAAACTTCTCCCGAGGTGTGGTGTCAGGAAAGGAGTAGAATCTTCACGATGCTGGACTCTCAGTTGAAGACAGCACTTACTGACTGGTTCTTTGGTAGAGTTTTAAAAAAAGCCATGGCGCGCAGCGCGCTCCAGCGTTCCCTGGACCGGCCTCCCAGTTCTTTGGGGCCTGTGCACCAGCTACATGCTGACCTCCAATTTGGAAAGGGAAAGAACCACCACTCCCTGGACCGAAGGGTTGTTGAGGATTCAGTGCTTTCCTTGGAAGCACTTTATAAACTATGAAAATGCTCCATACACCCATACACATAAAATGCAGTTGTTGATTAATAACTGCTACAAAATATCTACTGAGGCTTGCTGTGTGCAGCGTGCCACTCCCGGCGTTGCCGGCGGAGGATGCAGAACCAAGCCATGGCCCCTGCCCTCCTACCGTTGGGAATAGAATGGAAATTGGCATTTTCTGATCCTCAGAGCTAACAAGCCCCTCTTTCATATCTCAGTTCTCAGATCCTCAACTTTTAACCTTTAGTTTGCTCCACGTTTAAGCTATCCATAGGAACAGTAGAAAATGTGTAGGGTGTGTTAAGTGCGAAACCAACTGCAAGACAGGACAAAGCGGAAATTATGAATATCAATGCTGCCTCCGTTGATTTGAACTGCACCAGAGGGGGGAGGCATTGAAATTGCTCAGTTATGAAACAGGCAGCTGGGTTTGACACAGAAAAAGTGCCTGGAAATTGCATTGCAATTGAGCAGCTTTTTCCTCCAGATTTTCCTTCCAAAACATCTAAAGATTGAAGCTTCCCATTTGTGCATAGCAGGAAAAACATGTAAGGCTTTTCATTTGTAGAAAAGCATATGCTGAAATTCAAGTTTATTTTGCCATTTCTTTCCTTCTGAGTTTTTGGCTCCCCTCATCATTCACTGCATTAGTCATTGTTTCTCTCCATAATTGCTCAGGAGCCGCCCCCCTCCTTCTCCAGCTGGCGCTGGCTGGAGTGGGGCTTCTCGGACTTGCTTGCACCCTGGAGTCACCTGGGAGTTTATTTAAACTCCTTAAGTGTGGCGGCTCCCAAAGTTCTGCCTCGACCTCCCGAGTGCCTTGAAGTTCCCAGGTGACGACAGTGTGCAGGGACGCCGGGTGAGGAATCGAGCCTTCCCCACCAAGACGAGAGGAGGGCTCTCAGGCTGGTCACGTCGTCTCGCTGAGGGTGGCTCCCACAGGGTGGAGGCGAAGCAGGGTGTCTGCAGCGTGACACTAGAATAGCAGAATGCCCCTGGTGTTCATTTTATTTAGCAAGCACTTGCAGGCACTTACTGCGTACTAATCGCTGTTCTGTGTGCTGGGGTACACACACACACAGCAGAGAAGAGGTCCCAAGAGTGGCCTGCGTTCTCGCTGGGGCGGGGGTGGGTGCCTAAGGACGGACATCTTAAGGAACGCCTGTCATGGTAGGCGTGATGTTGAGTGGTAAGCGTTGTGGGAGAAGAAAAAGCAGAGCCGGGGGTTTGAGAGTCCCAGGCTGTGCAGGCACTGGCTGCAGCTGTTAAAAAGATGAGCGCGCTGAGCCTCACTGAGCAGGCGACATCGAGCACAGCCTGGGGGGCGCAGAGCAAGCCGGCTGAGCTGGAGGAAGAGCAAGGAGGTGGCAGCGTCATTGGCGGGGGAGTCAGGCCCTCGGGGACCCTGTTGCTTTCACTCGGGGAGATGAGGTGTGGGCAGAGGACGGACATCATCTGGCTTAGCTTCTAAAAGATCTGAAAGGGCTGAAGGACAGGCCAGGAGACCAGGGAGGAGGCTGCCGCAGAGCCCCCGGAGAGGCAGCAAAGTGCAGAGACGTGAGGAGCGGTGTGTGTCGACGTGTTTTGAAGGCAGACTCCAAAGGATTTGCTGGTGAACTGGCTGTGAAGTCTAACAGCAGAACCGTCGAGGGTGATTCCAACCAAGGCTTTTAGCCTCAGCAACTAGAAGGATGGAGAGGCCACCGTGTTCCTTAAGGTTACTATCAAATTTTTTTAAGCCTCACCTGAGGACATTTATTGATTTGAGAGAGAGAGGAAGGAAGAGAGAAACATCGATCGGTTGCCTCCTGTACATGCTCTGATCAGAGATCAAACCTAAAACCTGGGTATGTGCCCTGACCAGGAACTGATCCCCCAACCTTTTGGTGCGCAGGACAACACTCCAACCAACTTCGCCACCTGGCCAGGGCTCTTATATTAATTTTAATTTATGGAGGGAACTAAGTGAGGACACGGGTTGGCCCAGGCCACTGAAAGCTTTTTGTATTTCCCGAGGAAGGGCATACCATGCCATGCAGGGCCACCGGGGGGCACCAGCGTTGGCCAGGAGGCAGAAGGAGCAAGTGGCAAGCCGGTGTCCTGTCTGGGGTTTCCCAGAGAAAGGCGGTACAGGGCAGGGCAGACAGCACAGGACTGGTTAGTTTGAATAATTCCAGGGGGCCTTGGGGCATGGGGCTGTCCCTACTCTTCGGGTACGTGGCGGGGAATCCTGGTTTGGTTTGTGAGACTTTGACCAGAGGGGCAGGGGCTGTGGGCTCTGGACTGGTTTGCATATGGAAGGCGTGCAGGGGAGTGGGGAGAAGTGGCTGGACCTGGGAGGGGCGGTGTCTCCCCAGTCAGCTGGGCCACAGATGCCAAGTGTTCAGAATGAAGTCGTCCTGGCCGGGCGGCTCAGTCGGCAGGAGCGTTGTCCCATACACTGAAAGGCTGAAGGTTCGATCCCCGGGCAGGGCACGCGCCTGGGTTGCAGGTTTGATCCCTGTCCGGGGCGCGTATGGGAGGCAACTCGCTCACATCAGTGTTTCTCTCTCCCTTCTTCTCCCCCTAAAATCAACAAACATATCCTCGGGTGAGGAGTTAAAAAATAATAGTTGGCCCTGGGATGAATAAATGCTGAATAGACAAATCCAGAACCTAAGAAAACACAGCATACTTACATACTTGTATACTCGCTGCTAGAATGATACAGCCTGAACCCTCGGTGGCTTGACCTATAGAAGTTTATTGCTCATTCACACCAAGTCCAGTTGGCACGAGGTGGAGTGGGGGCTCATCCGCCATCGGGCACTCGGCCAACGGGAGCTGTGTCATCTTCAGCCTGTGCTGTCCGAGGTTGCCCCAGGCCGGTGGAGGATCAGGTGGTAGGTTTCCGCGCGACAGGCTGGACGGAGTGACATTGCTTCTGCCCGTTCACGTGGCCACACCTAACTGTGGGGGCGGGGCGGGGGCATGTGGCCTTCCTGGGTGCCCAGAGGACAGGGAAGCAGACTTGGTGAACCACATGTCAGCTCTGAGGGGGCAACAGCTGTGCACGGCACGGGTCTGAGGGAGGAGCAGACACGGTCAGTGTGAGATGGACGCACAGCAGGCTTCCAAGTGGCGATGGGTATGCAGGCCTGACGACTAGGAGGACCGTCTGGACCAGAGACGCAGGTTTGAAAACCGTCAGCATCCAGATGGGGCACTCAAAGCCATGGGATGGGAAGAGGTCACCGAAAGGGCAAGGGGAGACCAGGGGCCGCCCGACCTGAAGAGCCCACGGACGAGCGGGGGGATCCGCAGTGCAGACCGCCGGTGAGGCCGCAGATGGGCCGGGGCGCTGCTGTGCTGGGAGCCGCCTGTGGGCAGTCACTGTCCTCACCGTGGGGCGCAGCTTCGTGAGGGCGCTTCCGACCTTGCTGACGACCTTGCTGACGGCGGCTTCCGTGCCTGGTAGGAACAAAGCAGAGACACGGCCAGCCCGTTTCAGAGAGAGGGGAGGAGTTTTTTGCTGCACAGGGAAAGCAAACAAATAGGAAATCACTGTGAGGGGTAGTGGTCAAAGGGATTTTGGGGGTTTTTTTAGGCAAATTATTTTATACCATCATATGTAATGAGGTTTCTATTGTGGTAAAATATATACAAAATACAATTTTTTAAAAGATTTTATTTATTCCCTTTTTTGGAGATAGGGGAAGGGAGGGAGAAGGAGAGGAGGAGAAACATCAATGTACAAGAGATAAATCAATGGGTTGCTTCTTGTATGTCCCCAACCAGGGACCTGGCCCACAACCCAAGCATGTGCCCTGACTGGGAATCGAACCGGCAACCTTTTGGTTTGCACACCAGCGCTTAGTCCACTGAGCCACACCAGCTAGGGCAATACAATATAAAATTTACCACTTTGACTATTTTTTAAGTGACAATTCAGTGACATTGAGTACATTCACATTGTTGTACAACTATCATCACTGTCCATCTCCAGAACTTTCTCATTATGCCAAACAGAAAATTCTGTGCTCATTAAACACTAACTCCTCCTCTTTTCTCCCCCAGCCCCTTGTAATCTCTAATCTACTTTCTATCTCTATGAATTTGATGACTCTGAGGTACATCATATACATGGCATTGTACAGTGTTTGTTCTTTTGTGACTTCACTTAACATGTGTCCGAATTTTCTTCCTTTTTAAAACTGAATAATATTCCATTGAATGACATAGCACATTTTGTCATCCATTCATCCATCTGACACCAGAGTTGCTCCCACCTTTTGACTGTTGTGAATAGTGTTGCTGTGAACATGAGCATACAAATATCTCTTTGAGACTCTGCTGTCTGTTCTTTTGGGTGTATACCCAGAAGTAGAATTACTGGTTCATACATTAATTCTATTTTTAACTTTTCAAGAAATCTCCGCACTGTTTTCCATAGCAGCAGTACCATTTTCCATTCCCACCAGCAGTACACAATTGTACCAAAACTTTAAAAAAAAAAAGCCATCCTAATGAATGCAAAGTGAAATTGTGGTTATGATTTGCATTTCCCTAATTATTAGTGATAATTGAGCATCTTTTCAAATGCTTATTGTCCATTTGTATGTCTTCTTTGGAGAAATGTCTATTCAAGTTCTTTACACATTTTAAAAATTGCACTGGAGATCAGGCTTCCAGTCAAGATGGAGGCACAGGTAAACACGGCTCACCTCCTCGCACAACCACATCAAAATTACAACTAAACTGCAGAAAAACCATCACTCAGAAACATCAGGAATCAAGTTGAATGAAGTCCGACAACTATGGAACTAAAGAAACCGCATCCATCCAGACTGGTAGGAGACGCAGAAACTGTGAGACACAGAATGGACTGGCCCCTCACCCACATGTGGGGGATAAAAATTCGGAAGAGATATCTCAGAAGCAAGAGATCCCAGCCCCACACCAGGTCCCCAGCCCAGGGTTCCAGTGCCAGGAAGGTAAGGCCCTGTAACATCTGGCTGCAAAAACCAACATGGTCTGAGCAGGTGAAAGGAACTACCAGATTCCCCAGAAAATGGCCCAGACCCAGACTCGCTCAGACGCACTGCCTCTGAGCTCCAGCACCGGGGTAGCACCAGTAGCACACAGGAGGATCTGAGGTGTCGGGCATCAGAGCGAGAGCTGGGGTGTAGCTTTCTCCCAGACAGAAAAGTGGGCAGAGGCCATTGTTACTTTTCTGAGTCCTCCTCCCACGGAGCCACAGAGCTCATGAATGGGGCCATATTGTATATTCTGGATATTAATCCCTTACATACGATTTACAAATATTTTTCTCCCATTTCATGGGTTACCTTTTCATTGTGTTGATAATACAGTGGTGCCTACCCCCTTATCCACGGGGACACATTCTAAGACCCCTGGTGGATGCCTGAAACTTCGGGTGGTACCAAACCCTATATAGGCTATTTTTTTTCCTGTACACACGTGCATACCTTTTCACCTAAAGGAAACACTGTACAGCTTTTCCTTGGCAGATCTGAATTGCCAGCCTTGCTACTCTTGGTTTGGGGGGCCATTATTAAGTGAAATAAGGGTGACCTGAACACAGGCACTGTGGCCCTGCAATAGCCCATCTGATGCCCGAGAGGGCCACTAAGGGACCCCCGGGCGGGCGTACAGTGCGGATACGCTGGGCAAAGGAAGAATTCGCTGAGCAGGGCGGGGGGATGGTATGAGGGTTCATCACACACAATTTAAAACATATGAATTATTTGTTTTCAGACCAAGATTGTCCAAGGTAACTGAAACAACAGAAAAACAGTAGGTAAGAAGGTACTACTATATCTTTTTTTAACTGTATTTTTTTCCATTACCATTTAACTCCCTTATAGCCTCTCCTACGACTATATCTTTTGATGCTCAGATCAAATGCAGCCTCTCCAGAAGTCTGTAAACTCTGTCTCAAAGATTCCTCGGGCAGCATGGACAAGCAAGGTTCAAAGTTAGCTTCCCAGGTCTGGGACTGGAGGGCCCAGGACCTCCAAGCAGGAAAGTCCAGTTGACCGGGGAAAGCCTGGTCATCTCCCCCGTGATTCTTGAATTAAGCACCATTACCTCACTACTTGTGAAGAAGCTGAAGCTGCTGGGAATTGTGACCGAAGCAGATACAAGAGCAGAGAGGCCAGATGCTGGGAAGGTGAGTCACATTCCCGAGTCACATTTATCTGTTTCCTCACACATAAACTGGAAGTGAACACACCTCCGTGAGTGCACGTGTGGCAGTAAATGAAGCCCGGGGAGCCGAATCACGTAGGATTTGACGGCAGAGAGGAGTTGGAGACCCGCTTGGGGGCCAGGGCCCTCACAGGCCTCCACATTTGCATGGACCTCCCTTGTTCCCAAAGGGCTTTCATGTCATCTTTCAACCTTCCAGAAACCTCATATGTAGGCAGCCCTACCCACAGTCGACCAAGTTTCCTTAGGGGCCACCGGACTTGAAATCGAAGGCTATGCTTTCCGATCTCAGCCCTCTGATTGAACAGCTTAGCTGCCAGGTCAGGCACTTTTGCAAGGCTTGTAACGTCTATTAGCAAGTGTGCATGAGAATGGCAAGCTCACAGCTTCCAGAAGCCCCCAGTAGCCCAGAGCCTGGTATATAATGGCTGTTAAGTAAATTCGGGTTGAACCTGAGGATGGGTGTGAGAACCAAAAGGGAGAAATGACTTACAACGGCCCTGACACTTGAGAAGAGCTATGAGCAAGCCAACCATGTGCTGGGTGCTCTACGTTGGTTACGTGCCTTATTTCATTTTCATAGCAACCACATTATCCCATTTTTAGGATGTAGAAAGAAGATCAGAGAGATTAAGAAATTTAATCAAGCTCACACAGTTATGTGCCTCAGATTTGGGAAAAGTCTAATTTCCAAGGACTCATTCCCATCCAAATTTTTATTAAAAACATACAGAAAAGTTGAAAGATTCTTTTTTGAAAGATTTTATTTATTTATTTTTAGAGAGCGGAGAAGGGAGGGAGAAAGAGAGACAGACATCACTGTGCAAGAGAAAAATCAACTGGCTACCTCTCACGGGCTCTCACCTGCACCCCAGGCAGTGCCCTGACCAGTAACAGAACCAGTGACCTTTCTGTCTGTTGGTGCTCAATCCACTGAGCCACACCAGCCAGGGCAAGAGAATGTTTCAATGCACACCCACATACACTTCTCCCAGGTTAAACAACTGTTAACATCTTGCTACATTTACTGAGCTCACCTTCTCTACATGAATACACACTATTTTGAACTACTTGAAAGGAATATACAGATAACATGTACTTTCACTCCTGTTATGGACCAAATGTTTGTGGTCCCCCCCAAATTCATATGTTGAAGCTCTAACCCCCAATGTGATTTTTGGACATGGAGATGGGTCTTTGGGAGGTTATTAAGGTCAGATGAGGTCATGGGGTGGTGTTCTTATACTGGAATCAGTCCCCTTTTAGGAAGAGACACCGGAGAGTTCTCTCTCCCCCTCTTCGCATGCTCACTAAGAAAGCAGCCGTCTGCAGGCCGAGGAGAGGGCTCCCACCAGAACCCAACCACACTAAGCATCCCCACTGTGGACTTCCAGCCTCCAGAAAATTTCTATTTTTCAGCCAACAAGGTGTGGAATTTTGTCATGTTAGCCTGAGCAGACTAAGCCAGCCCCTAATATTACAACATGCATTTGCTAATAATAAAGACATTCTCCTACATCATCCCACCAGGAAAATTAGCAATTACTCCATAATACCCAATATCCTATCCAAGGTCAAAATTTCCCCAGTTGTCCTCAGAATGTCTTTTTATAACTGCTTTTAAATTTTCAACCAGAGTCCAGGCAAGATGCACACATTATATTTAACATCTTGATTAATCTAGTCCCCCTGCCCCATGATTTACAATTTTGAAGAGCTCAGGCCACTTGTCTTAGAAAATGAACCACTTTCTAGATTTGTCTAATGTTTCCTCGTGTCTAAACTCAGATGAGTATTTTTTGGCAAGAATTCACATGGATGTTGTCTACTTCATACTGCAGCGTGTATGGCAGATACCTGATGGCAGATAGAAGGCTAAGTAGAACACGTGGGTAATGTCGTCATGGGGACCCACTTTTAACCTCTAGGTAAAGAGCCACCAGGCTTTCCACTCAGCGCCTTTTCTTTACACTGGCCGTCCACTGCGCTGGGGACTGCAGTCCAGGTTCACCACGAAGACGGCTTCGGAACCTCCCAGGCCCGGCTCCTTCCCACCCCTAGCCCTAGCCCAGCGCAGCACTGCCCCGCCCCTGCCCGGCCTAGCCCCTTCCGGGCCGTCTTAGCGGCCCCAGCCCTGCCCGCCCGGAGAGCGGAACCAATTGTGTCTGGCGCTTCACTCGGCGTCGCCCGCCCGGACTCTGAACCCTGGAGCGCCCGGCGCCAGAGGACGCTGTTATCCGTGGGCTTCCGGGCACAAGCCGTTCGGGTGCAGCCGCGGCCGCCGCCCGCCGGACTTGGGGGAGCCGGCGCTGTGTCTGAAGGTGCTCCCAGCTCAGCCGCAGCCATGGGGATCCTGGAGAAGATATCCGAGATCGAGAAGGAGATCGCTCGGACGCAGAAGAACAAGGGTGAGCGCCAGCCCGAGGGGGCCCTCCTTGTCGCTCGCCTCAGTTTTCCTGTCTGTTAAGTGGGGAAACAACTGCGGCGGTAGAGCTGAAGCCGGCCCGAAGGCCGCGGAGGAGTGCCGGGGTAGTGCCGGGGTGGTGCCGAGGCAGGCAGGGCCCTGAGAGAGCTGATCAGTGCCCGGCGGGCTGGCAGGGGAGAGAGCGAGCAGAGAAGTTTCAGCTCACAGCGCAAGCGTGCGACCCGGAGAGGCAGGGCCAGGGTTGGAAGCCGGGCCTCCTCGTGGCGGGGCCTGGGGAGTGGGTGCTCTCCCCTGTTGTGCTGGGAAGTCCGGAGGACTCATCTCAAAGATAAAATCTCACCCAGCTGCCGGGAGGCCCGAGGTGGAGTCGGGGAAGCGTTAGGGCTCTGGAGGCTGGCCCACCTGGCTTTGAACCCTGGCTCCACCACTTTCCGGCTGTGAAACCTTGGAAAGTCACATTACCTCTTTGAGCCTCCTGTCCTCATCTGCAAATGGGGATAATAATCTCCTGCCCCGTGGTAGCCCGCAAATAGCGTGGGCAGAACACTAGGCAATTGGTGAGCGCTCAGGATTTAAAGTAAACCTCCCAACGTGATGAAGGCACATGATGAGGCATCAAACCTGATGGGCTTCAGATTGTGGGGGCTGGAGGAGCTCAGAGAGGTGAGGAGACAACGGTGACACCCAGGAAGGCTTCCAGGAGGAATCTGGTAGAGAGGGAAGGGTATTCCAGGTGGGGGGCAAAGACATGGGAGTCTCCGTGAGCATGCTGTGTTCATGGGACAGTGAGGAGAACAATCTAGATCAGAAGGAAGGCTGGGAGCAGTGGGGGATGCGATTGGCCGAGATGGGTGAGGCCCAGTGCCTGGCCAGACCAGCCGTGGGGTTGCGCGAGCAAGAAGCCAGGAGGGCCAGGTGGCTGATCTGTGTCCAGCCTCGGCTGCAGTTAGTTCTGAAGGCTGGGGACTGGAATGGCCTCTGTCATTCATTCATTCTCTAAGTCTTTACTGAGCCCTACTGTGCATGGATAGAGCAGTGGACAGAGCAGTCACATCCCCGCCTTCGGGGAGCTGGCTTCCTGTGTGTAAATCAGTAACTAAATAAACAAGGTGATTCCAGATAGCGGTGCTTTCTGTGAAGAAAACCAGAGTGCCAGGGCGGTGGGCGGGGCCCGCTAAGGAGGAATGATCAGAGAAGACCACCACGAGGAGGAGACGTTCGGGCTGAGATCAGAACTTGGGCATGGAGCCAGTCAGGCAAAGAGCTGGGGGAGGACTGTTCCTGGCAGAGGGAACAGTTGGTACAAAGGCCCCGGGGCAGGGACACACTTAGTGCATCTCAGGCTCAGAAGAGGCGGCCTGGAGTGCAGTGAGGGAGGGAGAGGGCCAATCACATAGGACCTCGTAGGTCCACGTCGTGTCCTAAGGGCACTGGGAGCCAGTGGAGGGGGATAAGCGGGAGAGACACAGCCTGCTTTGTTTAAAAGTCTCCTCTCTGGCTCCCCCGAGGGGCATCCTCTACAGGATTCAAAGAAAGCAGCAGTCAGGTGGAGACACTGCTACTTGGCAGTGGTGAGGAGGAGAGAGAGGGGGAGACTAAGACCTGGTCCTTCCCTTCAGAGATGTTTGGAATCTTTTTTTTTTAAACATTTTATTTATTTGTTTTTTAGAGAGGGGAAGGGAGGGAGAAAGAGAAGGAGAGAAACGGCAATGTGTGATTGCCTCTCACTCGCTCCCTACTGGGGTCATCGCCTTGTACTGGGAGTCGAACCGATGACCCTTTCTTTGGTTTGCAGGTCGGCTCTCAATCCACTGAGCCGCACCAGCCAGGGCAAGGCTCGGAACCTTTATGAGCTGGGATGACGGGAAGGACTGTGTGAACCTGACTGTTGCTGAACCCATTTTTGACCAGTTCTCACTGCTACCTGTTCACTCATTCACTTCTTAGAACATTTCCTGAGCACTTGCCCTGAACCATACCCTGTGCAGGAAGCTGGGGGTACTGCTGTGATCACCCCAGTTCCTGTGCTATTGGAGGGAGGGGACTAAAGAAACAAGATGGTTCAAATAGTGATAAGAGCTGTGCAGTTACTAATCAGGACCAGGAGGCAGAGAGGTGTCTAGGGAAAGGCGGGGCTACTGTAAATACTAATATTTACAACTCTAAATACTAATAAACCAACTCTTATTGGGAGCTTACTATGTGCTTATGGGGGACTTCAGCCTGTGAAGTCCCCTGGTTCACCACGGGTGGAAGAATGAGTCCTTCCAGACGCCGTGTGCCTGTGAAGGAAAGGGGAGGGCGATTCCCTCAAGTGGGGAAGGCCCGGGGCCCCGTGCTCAATGGCTTCTATTGAGAGGGTTACCAGCAGGGCACAGGTAGCAGGAATGGATAGGTAATCTAATTACATTAGTAATTCACGCTTACAGAGAATAGGTGTTTTTTAAAGAGGACAATGGCAGAAACACACTGAACTGCTTGGGTCCGAGTTGAGCAAACGTTATGGCGCCAGGTGGGATTTGGGTCAGGGTCCAGGAATTTTGTAAATTTCCTTCCCAGCCTGGACTAGTTATCTGGCATAATATTAGCAGAGCTGGAGGGAGAAACAAAGCCTGCTTCAAGGGCTGTAATTTACATCTAAGTTTGATTTCCCCTGGGGGCCCTCGGAGTTGTTATTGGGTCTTGCCCGTCATCCGCATTACCAGTGCTCCGGCCAAGGCTTACCGGTCCTCTCCCAGGCCCCAGCTTGCCCGGGACTGCAGATACCCCTCAGAGCGGCCCCGTACATGTGCTGGTCCTTGTTCTTAGTGCTCTCTATAAGCCTTACAGAAATCCAGTGAAGTAGTTACTGTTAACATCCCTATTGTGCAGGTGCAAAAACTAATGCGCAAAAGGTTAAGTAAACTTATGCAGAGTGAAATGATCAGAGACTGCAGGGTGGGCTCCCACACGGGCTCCTGGCCTTCGGTGCGACACGGTCCCCGGGGCTGGCCCGGGGCGGCCTCTGCGGGGGCGCCGTTTGAGGGGAGCCTCGGGTGTTAAGAAGGGGCAAGCCCTAGAAGGAAAAAGCTGAACTGGAAAGAGCAGCCAATGCCAAGGTCCTGAGGCAGGAATAGGGTCAGCATGTTCTTAAGTAGCAGAGGCAGCCGCTGTGAGGGGAATGTGGTGAGAGAAGCGAGAGAGGTGAGAGACGTTGGAGAAGTGGCCAGGGACCAGGCCACCCAGAGCCCCGATTCGCAGTCTCAGCCACAGTCTCCTTTTATAGCAAAGCCTTTATAACACCCTCTTTACTACCCTGAAATGGGATTCCCCACCAGTAGTATAAGTTTGGTACACAGAGAATTTGAAAGATATCAATATAATGCCCTGATAGTAATACGATGGGGAAAAAAGCGGAAGGTAATTCATGATAAAAATACTGTGCATTTCAACGTGCAGGTGTTGGGCCGCAGTCAAGATGTGGTGAGTGGCAGTGGAGCGGGGAGGTGCTCGCACCTCTGGGTGGGCCCCAGGCAGGGGCAGCCGCCGTGCTGGCCAGGCCGGGCGCATTGCCGTGGAGCCTCCGCAGCCCTCCGAGAGCTGCTGGGCGCAGCCTGGGGTCCCGGCACAGCGAGCAGCTCCAGGCCGAGTTTCAAACAAACGCACCGTTGTCGTCCCTGAGCACGCAGGGGAGTTGGGTTCCTGGGGATGTCAGCATTTATTAACGCCGCAAAAAGTGCCCGGTGTGTGTGTGAGACCGGGAGGCTTCAGGCCCTGCCACCCTAACCTGGGCTTCCCTCTGGGGTCTTTGGGACATGAAAAGTCGCGTGGGACACAGAACAGTCCTTGGCTGTGCCGGGCTGACTCTCATCTTGTTGGGCGGTTGGCTCCCCTGGCCCCTGCCCAGCAGATGCCAGCGAGGACCTCACCGTGGAGCAGCCACGGGAAACGCCCTGGAACCTTCCGGGATGCCCCCAGGCAGCAAGTGCCGGACCTGTCGAGAACCGCTGACGTGGGCTCTGGGTTTCCACAAGGAGACCCACTTTTGTTCTGAATGAAGTGAGAGGCCAAGGGGGCATTTCCAGCAGAGGGGCAGTGCTTTCTTTCCTCACGTGACTACGATTGCCATTTGGCCAGCCCTTGGCTGTGTGGGGGGCCCCACCTGACCCACAGAGCCTGAGTACTTTGGACACTTACCTTCACCCTGTTTTCCGTCTTTCAGCCACCGAGTATCACCTGGGCTTGCTGAAAGCAAAGCTTGCCAAGTATCGGGCGCAGCTCCTGGAACCATCCAAATCGGCCTCCTCCAAAGGGGAGGGCTTCGATGTCATGAAGTCGGGCGACGCCCGCGTGGCGCTGATTGGATTCCCCTCTGTGGGTAAGGTCAGTGATGGTCCTTGTGGGCCGGGGGAGGAAGGCAGGCGGTCTCCTTGCGCACAGGACTCAGCTCTTCGCAGAGAGGACCCGGCCTCCCTCGCGGTCCGGTCCCACCCCTGTACCATCCTAACATGGAAAACATTCTTCTTAAAATTATTTTATTTTGTTTTTGATTTTAGAGAGAGGGGGAGGGAGGGCGGAAGAGAGGGAGAGAAACATCCATGAAAGAGAGACATTGATCGGTTGCCTTCAGTATGTGCCTCAACTGGGGACCGAACCTGCAACCCAGGCATGTGCCCTGCACCAGTGGCCTTTCAGTTTGTGGGATGACACCCGACCAACTGAGCCACACCAGCTGGGGCTGGAGAACAGCCTTTCCGCTGCAGCAGAAATGCCTGTGCTCAGCCTCCTGCCCTGTTGTGCACGTTTACTGGTTGTGCACCACGTACCAGTTGCTGGAGGCACCGCAGGGATGAGGGAGTCCTGTCCCTGCCCACACAGAGCTCCCCTCCCAGGGGAGGAAAGGCAGGAAGCTGGTGGAGCGCCTGGCACATCAACTGGGGTGCTTTGGAGGGGGGAGGGGGCTGGGAAAGCTGCTCTGGTGAGCGGATCCCGGAGCAGACGCCTGCACTGGCGCTTGCAGACCCTGGGGAGGGGGCATCCCAGGCTGAGGGAGCGGCGCAGAGGCCGTGGGCGGGAACGTGCTCCGCGTGTGCGAGGGGGTGGGCGAGGGGGCCAGGGCTGCGGGGTCTGAGCGTGAGCAGCAGTGGGGGACACGTTACAGAGGCCAGATGGCCTTGGGAAAAGAGTGACGTAGGAGCCACTGCAGAGTTTTCTAGAAGGTTTTTTCTGTGAGCTGCTTAGTTTAGGGTAAAATTCATATTTGATTTTTATCGGGGGAGTAAGATAAACATCACTGAAGGGTTTTGAGCAGAAAAGCACTAACTGAGCTGACTGGCTTTTTAAAAAATAAACTTAAATTTTAAGAGTCCTGGATTTACAAAACAATTGCAAAGCTGGCAGAGAGAGTTCCGGTGCCCCACGCCCCAGCCCCCGCACTCTCCTTTGTCTCCCCCCGCCCCCGGAGCTCCGTTTTCACACCCCCCTGGGCCTGTCTTAGACCCGCCTTGACCTGATGGCGTTGACAGTTTGGAGGCGGGCTAGTCGGGTGCCCTGTAGAAAGCCCCTCAGCGGGGGTTTGCCGGGTGTTTTTCTCACGCTTAGGTGGGCATGATGGCTTTTCGGCAGGAAGGCCGCAGAGGGAAGTGCCCGTTTTACCCCCTCGTGTCAAGGGCGCATGCTGTCTGCGTGACCAATCACAGCTGCCCTTGCCCTCGGTCGCCTGGCCGAGGGGCCGTTTGTCAGGCTCCTGCCCTGCACGCTTGGTGCCCCCCGCAGGCGCCTCATCCTCTGAGGAGGAAGTCACCACGTGCTGCCCACATGTGGGAGTGGGAGCCGGCTCCTCCTCGAGAGGGGCGTGACCACGTGAGTTATTTGGAATTTTGTACATGAGACTTGTCTCTTCTCTCTGTTTTATTTAATCATTTATTTACATTAGTGTGGACTTTATTGTATACTTTGGGATCTACTAGCAGACTGTTATTTTGTTGCTCAGATTGTTCTGGCTTCTGAGCCATTTTGGTCAGCTCTTAGACATACTCCTGGTGTGTTTTTGTGGCGCTTCTGTACTCTCTGTGAGATGCTTCAGGCTCATCTTGTTTATCCCCTGCCCCAGCCCTAGAACCGGTCATTTTTCCAAGGAGCCTCAGTCCCTTTTATTGGAGAGTGGTATCTAGAAACCAAGGCCCGGGAGCTCCCCGCACACACAAGGGGGCAGCGGCGGGGGAGTGCTTGCCCGAGACGGGCAGCCCCCTCGGCTTTCCACGCGTCCTGCCTGGCCCTCCGCCTGCGGAGCAGGCCTGTGTGTGTCATGGAGTTGGGCACGATGTGCTCTCTGACTCCACAGACACACAGTGCACGTGGGGTCACACCTCCGTTTGCCACTGGCACTTTCACCTCACCGAGGACAGCTGTCCTGCTTCTGTGAACACATTAGAATTACCCTGTCTCTTGACAGCTGCTTGGAGTGCTGTGCTGAGGTCATACTACCAACAGTCCGCTGCCCCCTCCCCGTGGGTGGTGGCTAGGTGTCCAGGCTTCTGTCTGAGCACGTGGCGCTGCAGTGACTGTCCCCGTGCTTGAAGCTCTGTGCACGCGGCTTGTGTTTCCGGAGGGAGCACTCCTGGACGCAGGCACCGTGGCTCAGGGGTTGGGGTTTGTAAAGCAGCCATCGGCCTTGTTAATGACCCGCCAGAGAGACTCTGGCTGACTCCGTCTGGGGACGTTGGGAGTGTTTTCTAGGGCACCCACAGTCCGCGTGCTGTGTCCAGGCAGGTTCCGTGCGCTGCAGTGGGTGCAGGTCTACTACGCCGAGGCTCCGCCTCAGGGACTGCGGGAGGGCGCCCTCCCGAGGGCAGCATCTCAGCGCTTTTTAACCCTCAGGAACACAGTCTCCACGCCGGCTGTCATTGCCAGCACCCAGCTGCATCCTTCCCCCTCCTGGCCCTGCCACAACGTGGACTCGGGGAGTGCAGTGCCATGTTGGTCATCGCCTGAGCCAGGCAGAGCGGGCCTGGCAGCGTTGCTGTAGATGGACTGGAAACCGGCTGCGGAGCCCCCTGCGCCCCCAAGCCCCCAAGCCATTCGCTCCTCCTGTCGTGCACGGCTTCGGCCTTCCCACGAAATGGGAGCCCCCCTTTCACAGGGAGCTTTCTGGCCTGTGCTCACATTCCTTTAGCGATGGGGTGCTCATGACTCCCTAGCTTCACAAAAGCCAGACGGAGCCACCCAGAGGCCCCCCGCTTCAGCCCCTCAGAAGGAGCTGGAGCCCCTCCAGCCAAGAGGGTGGGGCTTCCCCCAGGCACCCCCTGGGCGGCCGACTGCCCTGGTGGTCTGCACTCCTGGCGTGGTTTCCGGGTCCTCTGTCTTTCTGATTCTTTCTCATCCTTCCCAATTTTATATAATACAAATTTCCAAGCATGCAGAGAGGTGAAAGGACAGGTACGGTGTGCCCTCTCAGATGCGCTGCTGATGGGCATTTTGCCACGTTGCTTTGTCTCAGTATTTGTGTGTATGTGTTGGGGGGGCATTGTTTCAACTGAACCATTCGGAAGTAAATTACAGGTGTCACACTTCATGACCCTAAATATTTAAGCTTCTATCTCCGACAAATAAGGACATTTTGCCTCTTAGTCACAAAATGGTAGAGCACGCCCAACAAAATTAACGGTGATCCAGCAATCATCTAATGCCCAGACCACATTCTGATCTCAGCGGTTACCCCAAAATGACCTTTGAAACTGGTCTGTCCAAACTCGGGTCCATTCTGGTCCCCAGGAAGCCCCTGTGTGTGTTGTCACTGCAGCTCCTTTCATCTAGAGCAGTCCCTTTTGTCATGACCCTGACTCGCTAAAGAGACCAGACCAGCAGTCCTACAGAACGGCCATGCTCCGGAGAGCTCGCTGCCCCGTGGTGCGCTTTAGCTTGTGCATCCGCATATGTGTTTCCCGCGACCTGAGCGCCGGGGCTGCGTCGCCCAGGCTATAGGCGGTGGGCACCTCACTTGGCGCCATGCCAAGACACCGAGCGAGCGAGGGCCGCTGTGGCGCTCGCAGCGGTCAGGCCCGTGGCCGCCTCTCAGTAGTCCCGGCACCAGTGAGCGGTCCCAGCCTCGGGGTCTGTGTTAGGGGTTGGGAGCAGCAGTTCTCTGTTCTCTGACTCCGTCCACACTGGTTAGCTGATGTTCCCTGTGAAGTAGCCCTTTGCCTTGTCATGGGGCTGTTTGGTTGCTTTGAAAAAGTGCTACCTGGAAAGACAGGGCAAACGTGTGCATACTGCCCTTAAATGACCAAGCAAGGTGGTGTGCTCACAGCTGTCCCGCAGGTGACAAGTGGGGATTTCCAGGCTTTAACTCCTCCGGTGTTGTTATGGGCTCATTAGTTTTCGCCTTTCCTTTCGATTCTACTTTCCAGTCTGCCAAGGACTTCTCCCCCAGGCGAGGCGCTCAGGCCGGAGGACGCCGCCCTAGTCCCGCAGGTCTGGACCCCGTGGCCAGGTCCCACTGCCCTGCTGGGGATCCGGGCTCCCCGGCCGCAGGAGGGCCCAGGCCTCCCCTGCGGCGGCCAGGCAGGGTCGGGGCCGTCCTGCAGTGGCCCTTGCTCCACCCCCCGCCCCACTCCCTGCGGTCCCCAGGGCAGAGTTGCCAGATTTGAGGCCTGTGTTTTCTTCCCGTGCCGCCTTCTGGGTCTCAGTCTCAGAGTGTGTGAGTGAAGCGCGCCCCCAGCCTTCCTGCCTGCCAGGGAAGGGCACAGCCTAGGCGTACCATCCCGGTCGAAACTGCACCCCGGGCTTGTTTCAGGTGCCCTGCTGACGAGGTGGGCGCCTGAGGCCAGGGCCTGGTTTCGTTTCCTGTCGGTGCTGCCCGCGGCTTTGCTGGCCCCCTGGGCCGCGGCGTCCAGCACCGTGGTCTTGCTGTGCCCCAGACAGTGCGCCACGGGCTGTATCATCCCCACCCAGCTGCACGCAGCCCCTTGGGAAAGGGAGGGGCAGGGGTTCCCACTCCACGTAGGAGGACCCTGAAGCTTAGAGGGTGAGGTTTCTTGCCCAGGTCCCGCAACAGGCGCAGGCTCCAGGCCAGGTGTCTACTAGCCAAGCCCTAGCCCCATTCCCGCCGTGAACCATCTCGGGAGTGTTCCCCCCAGGCCCTTCCCAGCCCGCCTCTCCCTCCCCCCGCACCTGCTCCCACCACCTGGTGGGGAGGCCAGAGTCTCCTTGCGCGTCACCTCTCCCTGGATGAGCAGCTGCATTGAGTGCCATGGGCTGCCACCTGCTGGAAGCTCTCTTGGGGCCCAACATGGTCGGGAGGGTTTTGAGAAGCTTGGGGAGGGCCCCTTGAATGAAGTGGGAGAATGCACCTAGAGACCAGGTGCCTGTGTCCACCGCGCCAGGCCCGAGGCCTCCGAGCGGAGCCCAGCCCAAGCCCAGTGGGAACTTTTCCTGCTTTCGCTCCACACGTACACACGCCGTCACTAGGCAGGGGGCGAGGAGAGGCTCTCCCTGCTGCCTGCAGCCTGGAGATTCTCCGAGGAGCCTGGGGCAAGACTTGATGTCGTGGCCTTCTTTTTCTCCTAGTCCACCTTCTTGAGTCTAATGACCTCCACAGCCAGTGAAGCTGCATCCTATGAATTCACAACCCTGACGTGTATCCCTGGGGTCATTGAAGTAAGTTGGAGTTTGCTGGGTCCCAGGACGGGGAGGGGTGTGGGCTGCTGTCTGTAGTTGTGTATAAGTGTGTCCTGAGTGTGTGTGGCCTGAAGCACGGGCGCTCTGGCTGCCGAGACCCCAGAGATGCGCGGCCACCCTGAAGTAGTGATTGGTCCCAGGGGTCGGCCCTGGACCCCTGGGGGCGCAGGTCTCCTGGTGGACACCCCCTTTGTGCCCACACCCCCACCCCCCGGTTCAGGCCTCTTCCTGCTGCCAGGCTGGACCCTGCTGCCTGGGAAGGCGGGGGCCCTGTGCGGCCGGTGTCCTGTGGCCTCAAGCCCCTCGCAGTGAAGCACTTTATTTGTGAAGAGCTGTTGCCATCAGCGATGAGTGTTGTGGGCCTGCAACAACTCCTCGGCTCCCGGTGGGGTCGGGGCTCAGATGTGGCCCAGGAGGCCGACTCGGGCTCCCAGCAGCCCCCAGCTGCCGGCTGTCGGGCCCTGGGCCAGGGGGACCCAGCCCAGCGGCGGCCCATCCTCACCTCACTGTCCTCTCTTCTGCCTCCTAGTACAAAGGAGCCAACATCCAGCTCCTGGACCTTCCTGGAATCATCGAAGGCGCAGCACAAGGTGTGGGCTGGGCACCCCGGGCCCAGCTTCTCCCTCGGGTGCAGGGAGCCTCGCGGTTGGAATTGGGCGGGGCTCACAATCCCTCACACTGCTCGGTGCTCTGTACTTAGGGGACCCTGGCCCATCACAGCCCAGAGAGATCCACCTTAAAGGGGAGGAAACTGAGGCAGGGAAGCGACCTGCGCAGGGCTGTGCAGCTCAGCAGGCAGGCTTGGTCCCCACCTCCACTCCGCGCGCTCCCTGCGAGGATGGACGCCCGCCAGCTGGCCCCGCAGGCCGTGCTCCCAGCCTGGCCTCCGCTGTTTGGGGTGGGGTTGGTTGGTTTTCAGACGGGAGTGTGCTGAGGGCTTCTGGTGGCCGGCCGCTGCGCGCAGCCTCTGCTGAGATGGCCGCCAACGGGTGGTTGCCCAGCCCATGCCAAGTGCCGGGCTGTGTGCTGGCCGTCACCTCACTTAGCCCTCAGTCAGCTCTGTGGCTCAGGGGGTGTCCTCATTCCCTTTTCATAGCCAGGAGGAGCCCTGGGGACAGAAAGGTCAAGGGTCTGCCCTGAATGACAACGTATCCCTCTGTTCAGAGGCAGAGCTGGGTGTGGAGCTGCCTGTCCAGCCACACAGCCAGACCTCCGGTCCGGTACCCGGTGCCTCCCTGCTAGGCCCCCCCTCGCCCCACTGCCCGTCGCTCGAAGTCCTGCCCGCTGAGCTGGGTGGGGGGTGGCATTGGTTTCCACGCCATCCCAGCGGCCTGTGAGGGGCCTGGGGTCCCGCCTCCTCTGGGGGTCGTGCACAGGCTGGAGGCAGCCGGGAACAGACGTCGCCCACCTGACCCTCATTCCGGGTCAGAGATCTGCCTAGATCCTGGCGCTCCAGTTCTGGTCCCCAGCTCTGTGTGACCTTGGCAAGGCTCCTGGCCCCTCTGGCCGTCTAATAATGGTGGGGCCTGGCCCTAGTGGGGCAGTCCCTGAAGCCCCTCCGCCTGTGCTGTCCCCTGGGGTCTTGCACCCCGGTAGGCGCTCTGTCACCCTGTTTTCTAGAGAGGACAGACAATTTCAAGTCCTGGCACCACTGGCTTTGTGTTGTGGGCAAGTGATTGAGTAACTCTAAGCCAAGCCTCAGTTTTCTTACCTGTAAAATGGGTGTGATAAAACACCAGTCATACAGGATAGTTTTGAGGACCAGGTGAGAAAATGTTCATGAAGCACTTAGCACAGGGCCTGGGAGAGGATGTCACCCCTCACAAGGTGGTGATGTCGAATGTCCTGAAACAAGTCACGAGTAAGGTCGCGTCTCGATTAAAAAAATGCCAAAGGAGTCATGGCCTGGGCGGTGGCATGTGGCCAACACCATGGCAGCCTGTGAGGCACAGCAGGAGTCTGCGGTGCTGTGGGCCGGCTGGGGTCACAGGGGTCCTGCCCGTGTCACTATGTGACCACGTCCCTTCTGCCTCTCCAGGGAAAGGCCGTGGCCGGCAGGTGATTGCCGTGGCACGCACAGCGGACGTCGTCATCATGATGCTGGACGCCACCAAGGGAGAGGTGCAGAGGTCCGCAGGGTGGGGTAGGAGGGCGGGCTGACACGTCTGGGAAGGCTCTGGGTCCCTGCAGATGGGTCCTGGAGCCCGTGGTGGACAGTCGGCACGCTGCTGGGCCTGTCACGTGGGAGCAGCGGCAGGATTGTCCACAGGCGAGACCCAGAGCACTCAGTCTGCTGCATCCTCTTCAGGAGGCATGCGTCCAGCACAGAGCCTGGCTAGGGCTCGTAGCAGGAGCCCCCCGGCAGCACCGGCCGTCTAAGGCCAGAGGAGCGTGGCCTGGCTCCAGCTCCTGCGTGCGGAAGCCCAGTGCCCCAGCCACTGCCCCAAACCTGCCGGGAGCCCAGCCCCAAGTGACAGAAGCCCCGTTCGTGTCCCGGCCTGCCGGCTGAGGGGCACACCAGGCCTGCCTCTGCCCCCTGACTGAACACCGGGCTGTCCCTCCCCGGACTAGGCAGAGACCCCGCAGCTCCGGGTTGTTGGGAAGGGAAGCATCAGGTGGCCAGGGGTGGGTAGAGGGGGGCGGAAGGGCGCTGCGCAGCCTGCCCCCGGGCGCCCATGAAGCCAAGAGGGCTCTTCCCAGGTCTCTTCTGGAGAAGGAGCTGGAGTCAGTGGGCATCCGCCTCAACAAGCACAAGCCTAACATCTACTTCAAGGTGAGGCCCCTGCCGCCTGCAGGCTGTGGGGCAGGGCTCCGGGATTGCGTCAGCCAGTAGCTGAGACACGTTGGGGGACCATTGCAGCTGACCCTCGGTCAGCAGCTTTCTTTTCCCCCCTGCTCTCCAGCCAAAGAAGGGCGGTGGCATCTCCTTTAATTCGACGGTGACACTGACCCAGTGCTCAGAAAAGCTGGTGCAACTGATCCTGCACGAGTACAGTATCCTTAACGAACGAGCCACGAGGGGGCACCCAGAGCCTGCAGGGGCCCTGGGACGGCCCCAGCCTCCCCGCCTCCCCGGAACCCCTGGAGGAGGCGCGGAGATGCTGCAGCAGCAGCCATGGGGCCCGTCTCCCTTGCCTTCCGGCTCACTAAGCAGAGGCTTGCCACATGACAGCCTTGCCTCCTGGCTCCTCGCCGACTACTGGGTGCCGTGGTGGCCAGTCACACCCGGAGGGACGGCGAGATGGCAAGGGGAAGAGCCGCGGGGCCCAGGGCTTTCTGGTCTGGAGAAGCCTCGGGGAGAACCGGGGGCCCCCGCACACACTGCTACAGCATTAGTGGGGTCTGGGTGGGTTCTGGGGCTCCAGGGTCAGGGCTGGGCCACAGAGGCAGAGGTGAGCTGGGCGTTGGGGGAGCTCTGCGTCGGGGGGTGGGGGGTGGGCTCGGCCAGCGCTTTCAGGCGGTGCTCCTGTCACTGAAGCCTGGACGTCCACTGAGGTGCTCGGGATTTTGGCAGGCAGGCTTTCTTGCCTAACAGCAAAGATTTAAACTGTTGATCAAAACTTTTACATATTGTGGCTTCTTTTGAAAAGAAAAAGGCTCCCCAAACTTAAATCTTGTAAAACCTTGCGAGTGGATGGCCCCCAGCGTCCCTGTCAGGCAGCGCGTGCCCGATGGGCTGTTTCGGCCCCTCGCGGAGCGGGCGTGAGGGGCTGCCAGGGCACCGTCGCCCTTAACCAGAGCCCCTCAGAGATCTTCAACGCGGAAGTGCTCTTCCGAGAGGACTGCTCCCCGGACGAGTTCATCGACGTGATCGTGGGCAACCGAGTGTACATGCCCTGCTTGTATGTACGTGGCACCAGCCCCTGCCCCGTGCCCTGTGGGAGCAGAGCCCTGGCCCTGGGCCGTGTTTCCTGAGCCCCCGTGACCCAAACAGGGGACAGGCTTCTCTGAGGGGCAGAAAGAGCCCAGAGCTGTCTCCGCCCTCATCTCCCCTCTATCCCAGTGGCTCCTTGAGTCTTGCGGACATGCCTTGCTTGATCCTGGGGTTCTGGCCTAGCCTTTTGGGGGGCTGGCGGCTCAGGGCCCTTCCGCCTTTCCCCATCATGGAGACAAGGGGCGGAAGGACAGTTGGCGTGGGCCCCCGTGCCCCAGCGTGCGGAGGGCGGGGCCGCGGGCAGGGCTGTGGCTGCGTGGGGGCCCTTGTCCTGCGCTCCTTTGTTTTCCCTTCCTCGGCGCCCACCTCCTCCTTTCAATCCCAGGTTTATAACAAAATTGACCAGATCTCCATGGAGGAAGTGGATCGCCTGGCCCGGAAGCCCAACAGCGTGGTCATCAGGTGGGGCTCTGCCGCCCTCTGTGGGATCCCGTCCGTGAGGCCTCCCACAGCTGGCCCGACCGAGCGAGCGCCAGGGCTCGGCTCAGGGCGCAGGAGGCCCTCCCAGTGGCTGGGGACTTTGGGTTGGTGCCACCCGGGGTTGACATGGGCAGTGTCGGTGATGTGGGGTGGACTCTGGGTACGAAAACAGAAGGCTAGTGTCCGTGAAGGTTAAGAATGGTGAAGAGCCTTCAAAACTAGCCGTTAAACCTAGTCCCCGAGAATGCCCTGGGGCCGTAGCCAGTGCTGCCAGTACCCTGGTCAACGTGGCTGTCTCGGCACAGGGCCAAGGAAAAGGGAACTGAGTTACCAGGGGGGCAGAGCGGTCCTTGGCCACCTTGCTCCCTGTCGACGTGGGTGGGTTTGGGGCCACGTGAGCCCCAGCTGGTGGCTGTTGGCTCACTCCCCGCCATCACGCGGGGCCCCTCCCTGGAGGCGCACTGACTGTGTGCTCACCTTTGCCGGCCCCCCAGCTCAAACCAGGTTCTCCGTAGCTTCGCAGCGAGGAAGGTGCTCAGGGACCAGGTTGGGGTGACAGGTGCCCAGGATGGACGAGGGTCCCGGATGCGAGCACAAGGACCGTTTCTGGGCATTGCTAGCTGCCGCAAAGAGCGGTGGAGAGCCAGCGTCCCTCCCGGAGGACAGCCTCGTCCCCTCTCCTGCTGCACTGCAGCAGCCGCCCGAGGACATGCCTGTCTTTGGGGCGTGAGAGCACCTTTACCTGCTCGCCGTGCTCAAAACAGCTCTGCAGAGGCTGACACCCGCTCAGGGCTAGACATCTGGGAGGGGTCAGCAGCCAGCTCCCCGGCCCTGCCCTGTGTCGCTGAAGTCCCTCTCAGGCGGGGCAGACTCTAGACTGTCCTCCTCTGCCCTTAACCCCATCACAGCCCCTCACCAGTCCCCACACAGCAGGCACCAGGAGAAGGCTCACCCCCAGATACCCGTGTCAACTACACTTGCTGTGCGCCTTCCGCAGAGAGCAGGGGGGACCCCCGGGACCCCTGGCTGACCACCGCTGGGCGTGATCGCGGTTGCTGGCTAGAGGCATTGGCAGCTGGAGTGTCAAGCTGCTGTCAGGACTGTAGGCTTGGTTCCCCACAGGCTCCAGCTGGCCACACTGGCCTTGGTGCCTGTGCCCAGCAGGATAGAGGTGGTCCCCTGCCACAGTGAGAAAGCAGAGATCCCTCCCGGCCCTCTGAGCCCAGGGGGCTCCCCTGACTGGCCACCTTCCTCCCCGGCAGCTGTGGCATGAAGCTGAACCTGGACTACTTGCTTGAAATGCTTTGGGAGTACCTGGCCCTGACCTGCATATACACCAAGAAGAGAGGACGTGAGTCGGGCGGCACGCAGCCCAAGAAACAGCCGAGCCCCACACTCGCCGGGGCCCCGGCCCAACTTGCTGTGCACACAGCTCGGCTTTCCCCCACTCAAGGCTGGCACCGTCCTCTATCCCGGGCCGGCAGAGGCCTCAGCCTGAGCCCTTACGGCAAAGAACGCCAAGTTCTGGGGCTCCTGGTCTTGAGGGGCAGGGATGGGGGGTCAGTGGGATGGAGGCTGCTCTGGAGTTCGCCGCCAGCGACAGCGGTAACCCCCGCCTGATATTTCCCAGCTGTGGCGGGCCCCACAGTAGGACTGGGGACAACTGAGCACACAAGAGCCTTTTGCATTTCTCCACCCTCTACACACACCTCACACGCTAGGGCGTAGCCGCTGAGTCCTGGCTGTTTCCACCAACCTTGACCTTGCAAGCAAGGGGAGCGCGGTAGCTGCCCCTGATGGGGTGCCAGCAGCTGTCACATCGCGCCTTCCAGATGCCCCCTCTGGCTCGCCTCAGCCGAGGCGCTCGTGGCTGAGTGGGCTGCTGGCTGTTCTGACTTTCTGTGTTAAGGTCAAGGTTGTAGAACCTGCATGGGGATCTCCAATGAGACTGTGCTAAAGGGGGGTGGGCACAGCCCCAAACAGGAGATGGGAAGGACCTCTCCTGTGGGAAGGAGCCACAGAGCCTGGGGCCATGGCTGCAGGTCACACCCACCCCCATCTCCCTGTGCAGAGAGGCCGGACTTCTCAGATGCCATCATCCTCCGGAAAGGGGCCTCCGTGGAGCATGTGGTGAGTTCCTGCGACCTGCCCGGACAGGGGCCGGGGCGCGCTCTCCGTCCCCCTCCCCCGGGGCTGGGGGCCTGCCTGCAGCCCTCTGGCCCTCGGCTGACGGGAGGGCACGTGCTGCTGTGGCAGAGGGCCAAGGGCAGGCCCTGGCGTTAGACCTGGGGCGCGTCCCATCCCGGCCGCCCTTCCCAGCTGCATGCCGAGCCTCCGTCCTCCTCCGTGCGGCGGGGATGGGGCCGCCCACCCAGTTAGCTGGGGACAGTGCTGGCTGAGGTCAAGCCCCCGGCATGCTGCCCGGTACATGGGAGATGTCCAGGCAGCGGCGGTCCTTGCCGTCCTGTCGTGCCTCGGTGCTACGTGCCGCGGGCCCCTCCGAGCCTTGGAGGCACCGGTTGAGGAGAGCTCCTGCCCCGCGGGTTCCTGTGTTCACGGCAGGGCGCGTCTCCTCGTCCTGGCCTCCAGGTCCCCGGCCCCTGGCGTAGCCTGCCCTTCCTGCTCCCAGACGCGGCCCCTGGCCTGGGTGCGGCCATGCATGCTCTCTGTGCTGCACAGTTTACAGAGCATCAATAAAGTAGACCCAGTTCCTGCCAGGACTCGGGTCCTCTCGGGTCTGCATATGCCAGACACCCAGTGTCAGAGCTAGGCCATCACACCTAAAGGTGGATGTCGTGGAGGAAGAGGATGGCGAGCTGGGACAGGTGCCCCCGGGTCTACACAGAGAGGCCAGGGGGTCTCGGAGGAGGTGACCTGGCGGGGCCTGAGGCCAAGCAGGACCTGACTGAGGAGGTGGCAGGAACAGGAGCCTGCTGGGCAGGGGACAGGGTGTGCAGAGACCCAGAGGCAGGGCACTGGGCTGAGTGGTGGGCCGGGGAGGGGAAGGGCATGTTTCCGCGTCAGACGCGGGGCCTCCTTTTCCTTGATGGGTCCCTGCACCGCCTCTCTGGATCAGGTGACTGCCAAGAGCCGGGGCGATGCTCCAGGTCACACCTTCTTGGGCTTTGTTTTCCTCTAGCTCAGTGATTTCAACCTTTTTCATCTCGTGGCACACATAAACTAATTACTAGAATTCTGCAGCACACCAAAAGAGACTTTTGTTTTTGCCAACCTGACAAAAAGAAATAGGTATAATTTTCAAAAAGATTTTATTTATTTATTTTCAGAGAGCGGGGAGGGAGAAAGAAAGAGAGGGAAACACTGATCAGTTGTCTCCCACACGCCCCCAAGCCGGGACCAGGCCTGCAGCCTAGGCCTGTGCCCTGACTGGGAATAGAACCAGCGACCTTTCAGTTTGTGGGATGAGGCCCAGCCCACTGAGCCACACCAGCCAGGGCAAAATACGTGTGATTTTGAGTCATTCACACTGGACTGTGCTGTTGTGTTGGCTGCGGTCACTTTGTCATTGGGCCCCTGACTGCACAGTCAGGTATCGCACTCTAAAAATTCTTGGGGCGCATGGGTTGAAAGTTGCTGCTCTGGCTCACCTCTCCTCAGGGTCTGTGGGCAGGGCGGGCCTGCGGTCTGGCCTCACGCTCCCTCCACTCACGCAGCAAGCCCGGTCTTGGGCCTTGGCCGGCCTGGAGAGGCTGACCCGGCTGACCACTGCTCAGCCCTTGAGAGCTCACTCGCCAGGCAGAAGGAAGCCACAGAAACTCAAGGTCACTCTCCCACCTCCCTTAGGTCACCCCACAGAATGCTGTGTGGGAGTCCCTGTCCCCGGGCCGGTTTTGGAACCCGTGACTGCAGTGTCTCTTGCTGGGGTCCAGCAGGCCATCAACACGGCTGCCTTGCGGGGGCTGGCCCTTCGAGGGTCACCCGGCACTGTTTGTGGGCAGTTTCCTTAACCCTCCCCGGGCCCCAGCTACCTGCCCGAGAGCATGTGGGGCTTCAGCCACACCTGGAAAGAGAAGCAGGAAACACGAGGAGCAGGAGGGTGCTCCAGGCGGGAGGGGTGGCAGGTGTAAAGGCCCGGGGCAGGAGCAACCGCGAAGTGCTGGCTGTTCGCTCCCAGCTGCCGTGGGGTCTGGAGCAGCAGGGTGCCAGGCTAGTGGGGTGGGGAGGGGCTTTGGAGGCCTTGCCCCAGAGCCTGGGCTTGGTCCCACAGAGGCCTGCTCTGCGGTGGTTACCCCCTCCTCACTCGCCCTTCCAGGACACCTGCCTGTCCCAGGCACCGGGGGCTGTACCCCAGCTCCCTGGGCTGTCAGCCTCCCCACGCCAGCCCAGGCCCTGCTGTCTTCCCTGGCCGACAAAGGCCTTGCCTGCGAGCGCCATGGCCCGTGGGCCCCCGAGGCAGAGGACCGTGCTGGGCTCCCCAGGCGAGAGGCACTGTGGACTCAGGAGCAAGGGTCTCCATCCCCACACGACATGCCCTCCCCCACATTGAAACAATGGCCTTGGAGGGCCCTCTGTTCCTCCCCACTGCTAGGGACGCAAGTGTGTCTCCCACTGATGACACCTGACCTCAGTGTCAGGGTCACTAGGCCGCGGTGGGGCCTGTGGGCAGCAGGCCAGTGCCAGGGGAGTGCCCACCTTGGGAAGGACTGCTCAGCGTGTACGTAGTGCTTGGTGGCGTTGGGGGGGGAGCCTTACCTCACCGTCTGACTCTTCTGTCCTCCCACTAGTGCCACCGCATCCACCGGTCACTCGCCAGCCAGTTCAAGTACGCGCTGGTGTGGGTGAGTCGGCGGAGGCGGGCTGGCGGCATCCCCAACACTCCCTGCCCTTCCCTAGGGGGACCACAGTGTCTGTGTGTCTTTCCCGCGCCGTAAGACATGCATGCTGTCCCAAACCGGACACCAGCCTCTCCAGCATTGGCCAGACCCCTGGGGAGTCCCGCTCTCGGAGGCCTCTGTGTTTGCCGGCGCCAGGGCCGCCCTCTTTAGACTCCCACATGCGCACCCCTGCCTCCCTCCAGTGCAGCCCCCTTGGACGTGGCCTCGGTCAGCGCTGAGACTGATGTGGCCCCTCTGCCGTCCCCCCAGGGCACCAGCACCAAGTACAGCCCGCAGCGGGTGGGCCTGGCCCACACCATGGAGCATGAGGATGTCATCCAGATTGTCAAGAAGTAGTGGCTGTGGCCAGGCCGCCCGCCCACCCTGTGCCCCTGGGGAGTTGGGTCCCGTGTGACACACCAACAGGAAGAATCAAATACATGTATTCCAGGAAGCGATCTCTCAAGTCTCTGCTTTTTCCAGAAGCTTCCTCAGCGGGCAGATGATGAAGAGTATGTGGGACAGAAGGACGAGGTGGGGGACTCGGGCTGGGCTGGGGGCGTCCCTGTGACACCAGCCTCGGGACGGGGGCTCAGCCCTGTCTGGGCACTGGGGGAGCAGGTTGCCCCCAGTCTCCCAGCCAGGGCCCCGTGCAGATCAGCGCTCAGTGTGGGGCGGGAGCTGTGCGGCGCTGCCGGGGCACCTGGGCCTCTCCGCCCCTGCAGTGTCTCCGGTTCTCCAGCAGAGGGCCTCCTAGGACAAAGCCCTCGCCCCAGCCTGCCTGGCAGAGGGAACTGGAGGTCGCCTGCTGCACCCACCTAGCTCCTGCCCTCCACAGCCCCCGGGGGCCCTGCCGTGCCACACACCCTACCCCCCCTCCTGGCAGCCGCTGCTGGGACAAAACCCTGGACGCTGGGCTAGGACCAGGGTTTGGATTCTTTTATTTTCTCTTAAGCCCTCTGATCTTGGCACTCTCGGAAATAAAGGATGAAAACAATTTCTGTTCAGAGTGAGGTCTGTTTTGTAAGTTCTGAACTCCTGCCTGGTTCGGTCAGCAGGCAACAATGAGATGGGATCAGAGAGGGCGTAGAGCCCGGGCCGCGGGGGACGAGGCTCAAGCCTGGGGCACAAGGGAGAATGTGGGGACCTCCAGGGCAGGCTTTGCCCAGGAGGGTTGGCGAGGGGCCGAAGGTCCCAGGTGTGGTCCCTTCTGAGACCAGGCCTGACCGCCAAGGCGGGCGGCATCCCCCAAAGGGCCTTGCCATGTATGGGGTGGCAGGGAGGTCCCCCTGGGACAGCAGGGGGCCAGTACATTCTCGCTGCCTCGGAAGGCAGGGGTGGAAGGGCCTTGGTAGGGCGCCAAGGAGTGGCAGCTGGTGCTCAGCCCGTGCTGCGTGCCCCTCCCTACTGCGTGCCAGGGGCTGCGCAGGGCCATCTCCACAGCAGCCTGTTCTCCACGGGCAGCAACTTGCTCTGGGCCGATACAAGTGCAGGGGTGGGATTTGAACCACAATCCAAGATGCAGCAGCCAGAGAGAAGGCTTCCTGAAGGAGATAGGCATTTTGGGAGTGAATGGTAACAGGTTAGGAGGCGGCCAGGCACTGGGCCTACAGGAGTGGTAGAGAGCCCCCCTGGGGACTGGGGGCTGGCGGGAGTGTGGCGTGGGCCCGCTGCCCAGCCCTCCAGGCTGTTCTTGGCTCCCCTGTCAGCTGCTCAGCCCCCTTTCCAGAGACAAAACAGGAATAATAGACGTCATTAAAAATACATGGGGCCCCAGGCGGTAGGCGCGGTGGGCTGGGCCTCCTTCTCCCCATCCCCTGCAACACTGCGCTGCTCCGCTGGGCCGGCCGTGCTCCCGGGGCCAGCCACAGCACCCCCGTTAGGCGGGATGCAGGCAGGGAGCGGGCCACGGGACCCAGGTAAGGAGACCCCGGTTCTGGACCCTTAACCCCACGCCCCAAGTTAGTAGGTGGGAAGAGGTGGGAGGCTTGTGAGGTCCCTCCCTGGGCCTCAGTTTCTTCATCTCTAAAATGGGCATGCTGATGCCCATGCGGTCTCCCTCTTGGTGTCACCGAGACAGGTACGTGCTCAGGGTCTTAGCTCCGTGCCTCTCGCAACCACCCAGGGCCGGGGGATGGTCACCTCCACTCCTGCCTTACAGGTAGGGAAGGGCCCTGGGTTCACAAGGCACCAGGTCCAGACCTATTCTGTCCCCAAGCTGGCTGAGAAAGGGTGAGGTGAGGCCAGAGGTCTGGGTGTCCTTGGGGAGTGCGAACTCGGATCGGCGGCATCAGGGTCGCCAGCCGCTGGGCTACTGCGTCCCTCACTGTCCGTGGTCTTGTTTCCTGGGCTGGGTCTGTGTTCACGGGTCAGGACCCCCGTGTCTCCGTCGTGTCCTGGGCCTCGGCTCGGGCTGGCGCGGCGCGCTGTTGCAGCCTGGGGGAGAGCCAGAGGCTCTGCGCGCTATGCTCGCCCGGCTGGGGCGGCGGGTGCGAGCTGGCAGCCCTGGTGCCCTTGCCCGGGGTGGGGAGTGGTGTCCTTGTGGCTGGAGAAGCCCCCGGCACCTCCCAAAGCCTCTGGTCCTGCCCCACCAGGGCGGACTCCAAGGCGTGGGCCTGCGCCTGGCTGCCGCCCGTTCCCACCCCTCACTGCCATGGGCCTCCCGGGTAGGGGGCTCTGGCCAGGGCCCCCTGAAGTCCTTCCTGCTCAGACAGCTGAGCTGTCCTCGTGAAGGTCAACAGCGCCCCACCCCCACTCAGGCCTGTCCCTGGGCTACAGGGCTGCGCTCCCGGAGGGCAGCCCTCCCGCAGCTCCAGGTTCTGCGGCGCAGCGTGGTCCGTGCCCCGACCCCCGCTCTGTTCAAGGGTCCACTGTAACCCGCGTTCATTTGCTCAGGCTGCTGTGACAAAGGACCACACACAGGGTGGCTTCAACAACAGCAATTTACTTCCCCACAGCTCTGGAGGCTGGAGTCCAAGGTCAGGGTGTCGGCAGGGCTGGCTTCTCTAGAGGCCCCTTTCTCACTGCAACCTCTTACGGCCTTTGCTCTCACCTTCCCTCCCATTGAAAACATGGACCCCCGGACACACCGTTCCCATGGCCAGCACTTTCTCGTGGCTTAGCCGCCCCAAGCACCCCCCCGCATCATTTTTCTCACCTCAGCCCTGTCCAAAATGCCACCAACACAGCTCCTGCCCCGGCCAGACGCCACAAGTGCTAAAGCGGGCATTTCTCACCCTGTGTGCCTGGGCGAGCCTGGCTCGGGTGCGCACAGCCAGTGCCAGCCCCTTCCCTGGCAGCTTCTTGTCCCCACACCGTCTGTCAGGGCCAGAACCTGAGCCCCCTCCTTCTTGCCGTGTCCCGGTCTTAGGCAGCCCCACCGCTACCCTCACCCCCACCCCCACCCCCACCCCCACCTCTCAGCCTGTGGGTCTAAGCCACGTCCTTGACTCTCCACCCGGACACCCCACAGTCACCCCAAACCCTCCCTGACCCGGAGCAAACCCGCCCTGTTCCTACTCCCCCACCTTGCCTCAGAGAATGGCTCCCCGTCCACTCGGCGTTACCAAGCCAGCGCTGACGGCCCCGGGCTCCGCTGTCCCCCAGCCGCCCTGCAGCCCTCACGGGCGTGTCCACCACGCTGCGCCACAGCCGCCCCAGGCCGAGCCAGTGTGCTCTCCCCTGACTCCACTGCGCACCCCCTGCCTGTCCTGCTCCACACAGTAGCTCAGGAGCTGGGAAGAGGGCACTTGAGCAAATTCACGGCCAAGCTGTGTGGCCTCGGGCAACTTTCTAGACCTCTCTGGGCCTGATTTGTCATCCATGCAACGGGAAGGGCAGTCCCTGTTTCCAGAGGCTGTGGTGGAGGTTGAATGAGTAGTGTGTGGCCGGGTAGTGCCCAACGCAGGCCCTGCGCTTCCTCCCCGTGGGCTCTGGGCTGAGTGATCTGAGCTCCTTTAAGACGGAGCTCTTCGTCTATAAAGTGGGAATAGCAGTTCCCACTTACATATTGTGAGACTCTACTGGGTTATAGGAAAGCATTCAGCACTGAGCCTTGCGCAGAGTAAAACTTGGCTGTGTTGATTAAAATAGAGAGAGAGAGAGAGAGACTTTAGAGAGGGAGGAAGGGGGAGGGGCGGGGGGAGAGAGAAACATTGATCAATCGCCTCCCATCCCCCCCACCCCCGCCCAGGGATCATGCCCACAACCTCAGTATGTGCCCTGACCTGGAATCAAACCCACAACATTTTGGTGCACAGGACGATGCTCCAACCGACTAAGCCACCCAGCCAGGGGAGCATTAATTATTTTTATTATTTTCAAAGTGCAAATCTTGTCTCAACTGTCCCGACAGGGTTAAACCCTGCCATGGCTCCCTGCTGCTTTGGGGCTGGAGACCAGAGCTCTGCCCTGGCCTCCATGGCGGTGGGCAGGTCCTTCCGGCCGTCCTGGTGCTTCTCCCTCTGTGCACCCCGCCCCTCCGTCCCCTCCCCACGTGGCCTTTGCACATGCTGTCCCATCTGCAGGAGCACTTCCCTCTTCTGCCGGATTAGCTCCTCCTCATCCTTCAGATCTCCACTCAGCGTCCGCTGGGAAAGCTCCTCGTCCCTCCACACCGGTGTTTGGCCACCTGCGGGGTGGCCTGGCCTCCACAGCTCTTCTCACCTGGCATTCTGCTGTTGGTGTGGCTCCGCCTAAATAAAGTCTGTGCCCCCTGTGATACGAGGGCAGAGACGGTGTTGGTTCCACTCGACTCTGGCCCTCTAGTACCCAGCCCACTGCCTAGCACAACTGATGCTTGAGGAGCGCATGAGGCCTGCTCCCTGACACTGTCTCTGTGCTTGCGGCAGAGACTGGGCCCCGAGAGGGGGACCCTGAATCCACCAGAGCCCAGAAAGGTCCCGTGGGCAGGCTCTGTGGCCAGCAGTCGCCCAGACCACCTTCCCCGGGCAGGCAGGAGCCGTGGCCAGCAACGCTGACATCGGCAGCCGCTACCAGGCCCTTTACTCCAGACCAGGCACTGCACGCAGCTCCCTATTTCTCCCCTCACGCTTCCCTCAGCCCCGGGAGCAGGAGGCACCGCGGGCGCCCACCCTTACAGGCCAGGAGAGCCTAGAGCTGCGTGACTCGCTGTGGGCAGATCCAGGGCAGGGGCCGTGCCTGACCAGGGCTCCGGCTGCCCGGCTCCGGACGCCCTGGGCTCTCAGCCACCCTGGGCCCTCCCCCAGTGGGGCCCTCCTCTCTGAGCTCACCTCCTCATCTGGAGCCCCCCGCATGCCTGTCTGAGGTCGCCTGCAGGCCCCGGGCGAGCCTGTTGGCCACGGGCAGATGCCTGCCTCTCAGTCGTGGGTGGACGACCTCCAGCAGGCCAAGGACCCCCGATGCGGGGCAGGCAGGCAGGGAGGCTGTGGGAGGGGCCCTTGAGCACCACAGCCCCGCCCCGCTCCCTCCCCAGTCTCCTCAAATGCCGTGCAGACCTGAAAGCCGGGTGCAGCCCCTGCAGCCCTGAATTCTTCCGGAAGCTCCTCTAAGGAGTGTTCTCACTCGCTGTCTCCATTTCCTTTTTAACTCATTTTCACTTTTTAAATGTTACTTTTTTGTTTGTTACTTTGAATCAGAAATGCAGTCACATTTCAAAAATCAAACCACAGAAAGGCTTACAGTGAGATAACCACTTTCATCAATTTCTTGTGTATCTTTCCCAGTTTCTCTACATGTAAATAAAAGCAAATATGAATTTATATTCTTACATACACACACTTCATACAAAAAGACAGGCCCAGGTATCTATCAACACACTGCTCTGCACGCTGCTCCACTCAGCGGCACCTCGGGGGGGTCTTCCCTCCCAGTACACGGAGAAAGTTCCATGTGGACCGAGGTCACGCACGCCAGGGTCGCTGCGCAGTGCCCACGGTGGGGTGTGCGTGGCGTGTCACGGTACACGGGTGAGCAGTTCGGAGGCAG